CACATGGTACCAGTAGCGTCCACTGTATCGGTCACATGGTACCAGTAGCGTCCAATGTATCGGTCACATGATACCAGTAGCGTCCACTGTATCGGTCACATGGTACAAGTAGCGTCCACTGTATCGGTCACATGGTACAAGTAGCGTCCACTGTATCGGTCACATGATACCAGTAGCGTCCACTGTATCGGTCACATGGTACAAGTAGCGTCCACTGTATCGGTCACATGGTACCAGTAGCGTCCACTGTATCGGTCACATGGTACAAGTAGCGTCCACTGTATCGGTCACATGGTACAAGTAGCGTCCACTGTATCGGTCACATGGTACCAGTAGCGTCACAGCGCGGGGTGGGTGGTGCCATCCACACCAGGTGGCGTCGTGTAAGGGGGGGGTGACATCATAGGAAAATTGTAAAACTAGTGTGAAAACAATGCTTTATTCAGTTACAATAATAAACAAATACGGAAGAGGGAGTGACACCAAACCGAAAATGCAAAATTGTTGTAGAGGAAGGGTGACACCCGCAACTGCTGCACTGGGTGACACCCGACTTTGTGACACCACTGGATAGCCCACTGTATTCGTCAAAGCGACCCAATGTATTAATTACGTGTGGACCTGATAATTGGATGACCCTAAATGATTGATCTAATTAAAAATGTAGGAAGGACAGTTCTGTCATTGATGTACCTTGCCCGGGGCTCCCACTACCACCCCAGCCCTCCTGTTAGATCTAGTAGTGTAGCCTGGTGTAGGCGTTGCTGTCTTGTCACGTGATTTTAATTATGAATGAACAACATACCAACACACAGATTGACACGTTAACCACACCCCTAGGTGTGGGCTGATAGCAATTGACAGGACAAGTTGTGAGAGATGGCCGTGTTGTGGTCTGGGGGTGGCACTTGTCCAGGGTCTGAGCTGCTCGTTCAGGGTTCGCTCTGTTGTTGTCTAGGGTTCGCTCTGTTGTTGTCTAGGGTTCGTCTTGGTGTTGCCCATGGTTCGCCCTGTTGTTGTCTAGGGTTCGTCTTGGTGTTGCCCATGGTTCGCCCTGTTGTTGTCTAGGGTTCGCTCTGTTGTTGTCTAGGGTTCGCTCTGTTGTGTCCAGGGTTCGCTCTGTTGTTGTCTAGGGTTCGCTCTATTGTTGCCCAGGTTTTCCCCCGTTGTTTATGTGTTGCCCTATTAGAGCTCGCACTTCTATCAAATTGTCAGCTTTTTTCCAGGGGTCGTCATTTTATCCTTGGTCCGCCGGTGGTCAACGGTCGTACTGCTGTCAACGACTTTACCGGAATCCAAGGTCTTCGCATCACTTATCAACTCCCCCCCCCCTAACCACCCCACCCCCCTCCACACACACACCGTGACGGTGAGGTCACCCAACCACGGGCCTGGACAAACCTGCCCCAACAAGTGACCTGAATGTTTACATTGACGTGCATAGATGTACCTGGCCCACACTAAGTGGGTGATGACACATGTGTCGCCGGTTCGTTAAAATTTATTTTTAGTTTTAGTTGAGTCTGAATGTTTGGCCTAAATAGCCATTACACTTCATTAGTCACCGTGTAGGCCTGCATATATATACATATATATATATATATATATATATATATATATATATATATATATATATATATATATATATATATACTATATATATTAATGAAAATACGAACTTTTAAACAAAAAGTTGTTTTTTTTACTAAACACCATCTATATATATAATTCTCTTCTTGGAGACCCTAGAAAACACCAAGCTGTAAGCGCGCCTTCTGGCAGCCCCTCTTAGCAGCCCCCTCTTTTCCTCTCTAGGCATATCGCTACCACATCCACCCCCACAAGGTCTGGGGGGGGGGGTAGGGGTTGGGGGGAAAGGAGGGTTTTAGTGTTTTTAAATTATGAATTACTGACAAAAGTAGAAAATAAAACAACAATATAGCGGCGTATGATTCGCCGCGGGTCGGCTCGTTTTTACTATTGCTACTTTCAGCTCTAGGATTTTGACGTGGGTGCTATATTTAGTTACTACATTGCCAAACTGTTTACGTGTAGTAAATAAACGTAAGCTTTAATTATGGGCGACAAGACAGTGGGTGTTAAACGGTTAACACAGTTAACACCGTTACTGTGTCGAAGGCTACTCAAATGGGGGGGGGGGGGGGGGGGGGGTTAGCGCGAGGGTGGTGTGGGCGACAGCCTACCTCCTCGCGCCCAACTCTCACCGTGAAGGGTTTGTTATGAAGGATTTATTATGAAGCTGACTTCACATTTAAATACTCCAGTGTTAAATACGCACCAACTTTGCTGGGACTAGTGTGCCAATGAGTCATCATCACCATACCGCTTTAAATATTTTATTTCATTTTGCTTTTAAACAGAGGCGTAGCAACAAACTCTAGCGCCTGGGGTAAACTATCGATTTTTCGCCCTCAAGTTGGCAAAAAGCTTCACTCTTCCCCACCACATTGGAAAAGCGCGCACAGTTTTTATTTTGGAACCACACAAATTATATAGAAAACGGTCCACAAGGCCAAGTAGCATTATTCCATTGTCAATAATTCAGTAAAGCAGCTCAAAAGAAGCTGAGATTTTTTTCTCTCTACTTTATTGGCGCCCCATTAGTGTCAGCCACCGCCCCACACACCCTCCCAAGCGATGCCTTTGCTCTTAAAAATTTAGCAGTAATGTATTTTTGTATCAGCGTTAATGTCATATCTTCCTCCGTCCCAACTTTTCTCACTGCTAGCATCTAATCCTACTCATCGCACGATATCTAAAATCATGTTACACCAGATAAGCCACATTAAATACAAACGTAGAATAAATCTCTACCTTCTGTAAACTGTCTGTTTTCACCTGTTTCGAATACTTTATATTTTCTAGGAAAAAAAATAATGGTGAAACCTGGAACTTGATAGTGGGAAAGGGGGGGGGGGCGTTGTTAACTAAAACATAAATGTTAATGCAACTTTCAAAATAGACAAAAGTTACAGGGAAAAAAGTTGTAAATACAGTACAGTCAGTGTTTCTTCCAGACTTTTTTCTCCGGGGGGACGGGGGGGGGACGACACTGTTAAAAGTATATATTTTCTATATAAATTATATAAATTTCATTTCGTTCGGGGGGGGGGGCACTTGAAATTTTCGGGGGGGGGGGGGGGGGCGGACACCCACCATCCACCATCGCTCATCCGGTACGCCACTGAAGCTGGCTAGGCCTAGTCTAGATCACCCGGCTCTCGCTCTAGATCAGTATTTGTTGCTGGTGTGAATGAAACAATTAAATTTAACTCCGGTATGGAAGAGTTCAGCTGTCTCGATCTGATGTAACACGTGTCGGTGACTCATGCTCCCAGTGATGTAGCTTGCGGCTAACGTTCGCTACATACGACTGATTTCAAAACCTTTGATGGCTCGATACATTCCAATCAATGTTGTGGAGAAAGTTGAGTTAGGCAATTCCCTATTACGCCATTAATACACACATTAATACAATCTAGAACTTAAGCGTGTTGGTAGAATATGGGGGGGGGGGGGGGGGAGACCAGTGTTTCTTCCAGACTTTTTTCTCCGGGGGGGGGGGCACTTGAAATCTTCGGGGGTGCGGTAAACTTTCTTCGGGGGGCGGACACTGTTAAAAGTATATATTTTCTATATAAATTATATAAATTTCATTTCGTTCGGGGTGGGGGGGGGGGGGGGGGGCGGTAAGAAACTATGGGGGGGACAAATAGATTCAAAGGTAAATTTTGATATTTTTCCGCACAAAAAGGTCTTTACAATAAATGTTGACATTTTCTCTTACAAAAAAAAACTGCAATACAAAATCTAATGTTGACATTTTTCTCTCCCCCCCCCCCCCCCCCAATAAAAAATGTATTCACTGCTGCAGCAGAGATCACCTGTCTGGCTGTAAAGGTCGCCTACGTCAGCTGATCCCAAACGAACCGTCTCATTCATTGAAGATCCACAAGGTCAGGGTGACCTAGACCCTAGTTGTGCCTTCTCTCTTTCTTCTTTCATCTCACGACATCTTGTGGGTCATCGTACCCCCCCCCCCCCCCCACCCCACAGCTATGTGTATGGTTTAGTCCAGACATTCTTTATTTGGAATGCAACGGGGCGATAGATTTTCAAGGTCATCCTAGCCCCGCCCCCTCCCACCACCTTTGTCCCCGAGCGGTCAGATCCTTAAATCCTCCGGTCATTCCACAACACACCATGCAGAGTACCTGACCTTGACATTAGCGCCCGACCAAAATCGGGATTTCCCAGAATTAATTATAGACCGTCATTGTTAACATCCCGTCTAAATAAGAATGAGAAAACAGACATTAGTGTTCTGTTGGCTGTTACCCTTCCCCCCCTCCCCTGAAGGTATAATATGGTAAGAACTATGACGAGTCGTTTTTACTTTCCCTAAGGTGAGCCAGGTGTGGTTGAAAGCTGGGATCTAAACTTGAGACTTGTTTAGCAGTCAGGTAATTCTCTACCATTTGACCGCACAATCCCTCAACCAATCTACATAACTTAACTTATAAGCTACACTTATCACTGGATTTCTTTAATCTTTTCTGGATTTGTTTATCAACTAACACTGTTAGGAAACAATTTCTGTATAATATGATTGGCTCTCACCTTTCAATGACAAAATATGATTCTACCATCATTCACTCGTATGGTTGTCTCCCATCATTCACCTTATATTTGTCCTTCATCAATAACATGATATGATTGTCTCCCTTCAATAACATGATATGATTGTCTCCCATCAATAACATGATATGATTTTCTCCCATCAATAACATGATATGATTGTCTCCCATCATTCACAAATATGATTGTCTCCCATCATTCACAAATATGATTGTCCTCATCAGTCACAAAATTATTTGTCTCCAATTTAATCACATCATATTTTGTCTGTTTGATTGAGGCTAGTTTAACATTGCCATTGTTGCAGCTACTCAAATTTTGTTTCCATTCAGCAGCCGCTGACCACCACTGACCACCACCACTGTACAGTAGAAGCAGAGCCTCAGGATGGTGTTCTTCAACTCTGTGAAAAAATACAAGGGCCAGGACTACAACAAGCTGAAGAAGGATTGCCAGACAAGAGGAACTCTATTTATAGATGTCGAGTTCCCCCCTGACGAGAGGTCGTTGTCAAAAGTTCCTGGAAAATTTGGGAACATTGTGTGGAAAAGACCAAAGGTAAAAAATGTTTATTTAACTTTGTACTTCAAATTGTCAGAAGTTTATCTGAACTTTGTACTTTACATCGTCAGAATGACAGGTGAAGTTACTGTTTTTTAACCATATGGTTGACATACAGTCATACAGTGAGTGGACATCCATACATAATACATATGATGTGAATACTTCTGTATAAATTATGACTATAGCTTTTATACAAAGTGTCAATCTCTTACTTTACCTAATTTTAAACTGTTGGTTTTTTGTGGGTTTTTTTTTTTGCTTGCATTATTCTTAGTATCCTTTAAACTTGGATAAAAAAAGACATTCATCTATGATATTCTATACTGCTGTACATATCACCAACATTGTGTACTTTGGCAGCCAGTTTGATTTTTTTACTGCTATCTTTCTTTTAATAAATGCAAATGATTTTTTACTGTTATCTTTCTATTAATAAATGTGAAATAATCTTCATTGATTTTGTACTGTTGGCTGGTCCTAGTAACCCACCAAGCAGTCCGTACAAGTGATTATTGCTGCTCTAATCTATTGATTCATTGATTAGTCTGCGGCAGCTGGTGGAGTAGAGTGAGCAGTAAAAAAAAAACATCAAAGAGCTGTTACTATTTGAAGGAGAAAATCGAGTAAATCCACCTGGATAATTCAGTTTATTTTTTTTTACACAATATAAGTTGTTATTTTTATAAAATGTAAATCTACTAGTACTAGACTTACAATAATAATTTAAACTCCAACTGAGACAAACAGCTAAATGTAATGTACAAAACAGCTTTTAAGTTAGACTGATCATGTTAATGACTTTAGGAAAATTTGCTACATTTGCTATTTCAAACTTCATTCTTTTTTCACAAATTTTGTGGTATAAGTTGTAAGTGTGAAAAAACAAAACATTCATTTTAATTTAAAACAATTTTTTATTAAATAATTCTAAGTTTTGTTTTGACTACTTTAAGAGGTAGTCGGCGTAGTCAAGTCGGTAAAGCTCATGCTTGCTAAACCGATAAGTCTCGAGTTCGAACCCTCAGGCAGATGAGGCTTGTTAGCTGGGGACAGCAACTCTTCTAGGCGAGACAACTCCAAAAATCGAACAACTGCTGCTTTGTAATTTATTTTTGGTTGAACATAGGCTATGGAAGCAAATCCAAAAGGAAAAATTGGCTGAAATCGTAGTCAACTGCCTATATGGCACATAACAAGTTGACACATACTAAATTGCATATTGGACCAAATTATTGAAATTTTGAATTCAGTATGCTATCACATCATATTTTGCAGCAAATCTGCAATGATCCTAAACTTTTATCACATCATATTTTACAGCAAATCTGCAATGATCCTAAACTTTTATCACATCATATTTTGCAGCAAATCTGCAATGATCCTAAACTTTTATCTCATCATATTTTGCAGCAAATCTGCAATGATCCTAAACTTTTATCACATCATATTTTGCAGCAAATCTGCAATGATCCTAAACTTTTATCACATCATATTTTGCAGCAAATCTGCAATGATCCTAAACTTTTTGTAGAAGGTGCCAGCTCTGGTGATGTCACTCAAGGCAAGCTGGGCAATTGCTGGTTTGTCGCGGCTTCCTCTTGCCTCGCTTCCTTCAAACAAATCTGGAATAAGGTAAACGAAATAAATAAGGCACCAACTCAGTTCTAAAATCCTTTGGCATTTTAGTGCTTAGTTCATTTATTATTTTTTCAACATTAGACACAAGTAATACAAAAATATTAAAGTTTTATTTTTGTGATAATAATTTTTAAATTTCTAAACTCACTTATTACTGTAAGTTGGTGTAATTAATTATGTTTTACCATGACCTGATGGTGATTAATTTTATTTTATCACAACTGTTCGTTATTAATTAGGCCTATATTTTCTAATGATCTGACGGTGATTACTAATTGATTGACCAGGTGATTCCAGATGCCAAAGGTCAAGAATGGGACCCAGAGAAGCCAGACAACTATCAGGGCATCTTTAAGTTCCAGTTCTGGCGCTTTGGTGAGTGGGTAGAAGTGGTCATTGATGACATGCTGCCCACAATCAATGACCAGCTGGTCTTTATCCACTCACAGAGCCGCAATGAGTTTTGGTCAGCCCTGCTGGAAAAGGCTTATGCCAAGTAAGGTTTAGTGCTCTCTGTCAATGTTTTATTTATTTTAATTTTTTGATAACATTTTGGAAACAATGGTTTACACCGGGGAAAGGTGTTGGGGTTAGAACATAAGGCAGAGTTGGCTGCTCTATCCAGGGACCTGAACTCTAGTGCAAACCTATTGCCCACTCTTATTGCTGCTGATGTAATTTCTGTATAGTTTTAATTAATTGGAAACTAACGTTTCTAAATTTTACGGCCTGAAGAAAATAATAAACTTTAAAAAATAAAATTATTAAGCCAGTGTTTTCTAATTTGTCCACAAATTAAGTCATGGTATTCCTAATTCACTCATCCTCATTATTGTGTATATTGTCTTCTAAATAATTCATTATTGTGCAGATTGTCTGCTAATTAACACTAATTAAGTAATTATTGTGCAGATTGTTTGGCACATATGAGGCGCTGGATGGGGGAGAACTGAGCGAGGCTCTAGAGGATTTTACAGGGGGGGTGTCTGACACCTTGGATATGATCAAGATGGAAGTCTCATCAAAACCTGAGGAGAGGGTGGCGCTGTTTGCTCGCATGCAGAAGGAGGTGGATAGGACATCACTGATGGCTGCCTCTATACCAGTAAGTCTAGTTGATGGCCCCCCCCCCCCCTCTATACCAGTAAGTCTAGTTGATGGGCCCCCCGCCCTCTATACCAGTAAGTCTAGTTGATGGGCCCCCCCTCTATACCAGTAAGTCTAGTTGATGGGCCCCCCGCCCTCTATACCAGTAAGTCTAGTTGATGGGCCCCCCCCCTCTATACCAGTAAGTCTAGTTGATGGGCCCCCCGCCCTCTATACCAGTAAGTCTAGTTGATGGGCCCCCCCCTCTATACCAGTAAGTCTAGTTGATGGGCCCCCCCCCTCTATACCAGAAAGTCTAGTTGATGGGCCCCCCCTCTATACCAGTAAGTCTATTTGATGGGCCCCCCCTCTATACCAGTAAGTCTAGTTGATGCCCCCCCTCTATACCAGTAAGTCTATTTGATGGGCCCTCCCCCCCCCCCTCTATACCAGTAAGTCTAGTTGATGGGCCCCCCGCCCTCTATACCAGTAAGTCTAGTTGATGGCCCCCCCCCCTCTATACCAGTAAGTCTAGTTGATGGGCCCCCCCCTCTATACCAGAAAGTCTAGTTGATGGGCCCCCCCTCTATACCAGTAAGTCTATTTGATGGGCCCCCCCTCTATACCAGTAAGTCTAGTTGATGCCCCCCCTCTATACCAGTAAGTCTATTTGATGAGCCCTCCCCCCCCCCTCTATACCAGTAAGTCTATTTGATGGCCCCCCCCCTCCATACCAGTAAGTCTATTTGATGGGCCCCCCCCTCTATACCAGTAAGTCTAGTTGATGGCCCCCCCCTCTATACCAGTAAGTCTAGTTGATGCCCCCCCTCTATACCAGTAAGTCTATTTGATGGGCCCTCCCCCCCCCTCTATACCAGTAAGTCTAGTTGATGGGCCCCCCCCCTCTATACCAGTAAGTCTAGTTGATGCCCCCCCTCTATACCAGTAAGTCTATTTGATGGGCCCTCTCCCCCCCCCCCCCCTCTATACCAGTAAGTCTATTTGATGGCCCCCCCCCCCTCCATACCAGTAAGTCTATTTGATGGGCCCCCCCCCTCTATACCAGTAAGTCTAGTTGATGGCCCCCCCCCCCCCCCTCTATACCAGTAAGTCTAGTTGATGGCCGCCCTCTATACCAGTAAGTCTAGTTGATGCCCCCCCCCCCCCTCTAGTAGTTATGGCAGCTTTATTCAAGTGCCACATGTCTGAAGACAGAATTGATGTGTAAAGTGTGCATCAGGTCTGTTCCATGAAAACTACTTCTAAATAATTGACAGTGTTTTAAATTGAAAAATATAAATGTTTCTTTGTACCTTACTTGACAAGTAAATATTAAACATAAAATTCTGGTATTTCAATAAATGTTAGTAATAATAGTGTAAATGAAATCACTTACCTTAGATGCAGATAAAATTATTTCAAACCAAATTGTATTTGTTGTATTGGTGTAGGCGACATCACTAGATGACATGGAGGCAACAACAGAAACTGGACTGGTCAAAGGTCACGCGTACGGCATCACAGCTGTCAAGAATGTCCACCTGGAGGGGTCAGGGTTGTTTGGGCTTTTTAATAGAGAAAAGTTGCCCATGATTAGGCTTCGAAATCCTTGGGGGAAAGGGGAGTGGAAAGGTGCATTTAGTGATGGGTGAGTTGATGTTTGGGTGATGGGTGGGTTGATGTTTGAGTGATGGGTGGGTTGATGTTTTAATGATGGGTGGGTTGATGTTTGAGTGATGGGTGAGTTGATGTTTGAGTGATGGGTGGGTTGATGTTTGAGTGATGGGTGAGTTGATGTTTGAGTGATGGGTGAGTTGATGTTTGAGTGATGGGTGAGTTGATGTTTTAGTGATGGGTGGGTTGATGTTTTAGTGATGGGTGGGTTGATGTTTGAGTGATGGGTGGGTTGATGTTTGAGTGATGGGTGAGTTGATGTTTGAGTGATGGGTTAGTTGATGTTTTAGTGATGGGTGGGTTGATGTTTGAGTGATGTGTCTTAATGACCCAATATTTTTCTTTCAGATCCCCTGAGTGGAATAAAATCAGTTCTGGTGACAGAACTAAAATAGGTTTAACTTTTGAAGAGGATGGAGAGTTTTGGTAAGTGGACCAGAAAATTTTGGCCTTTTTTCTTTTACATTTGAATATCCATGAACAACAAAAATGTGAATTTTATTTTTTTTTTTGTTGTTCTTTTATTTTTGACTTCTACTAGGATGACTTTTGAAGATTACTGCAAGTATTTTGTCCAGACTTGCATCTGTAGAGTGGTCAACACATCCATGTTTAGCCTGGCCAAAACTTGGCATGAAGGTCTGGCCCATGGAGCCTGGAAGATTCCAGAGAGAGCTGGTGGTTGCCCTAACAATGCAGACTCATTCTTAAAGAATCCTCAGGTAATAACAAGAACTGTGTTCAGTCAGGTCAATAGGTATTTGTTGTTTTTTTTTTTTGTCAAATTTCCTCAATATTGACCCCCTCTCCCCCCCCCCTCCCCTATATAAAAAATTCTGCCTACCTACGCTATTGAATGCAAGCAGGGTTTCTTTCAGACATTTTCTCTTCTGTGGTAGTGGACACTAGTTAAAGTATACATTTTCTGTATAAGTTATGTTCTCTACTTAGCCAGAGGGGTGTAGACATGCAGAGAAAACACTGGATACAAATACATATATGCAATTTGACCCAGCACTAACAATAGCCTTTTAAATTAAAGACAAGTAGCTGAGACAACAACTCATATTAAGGCTTGATGACTTAATGAGACAAAAATATTTTGTTGTAAAATTTACTGTACAGCTTAGCCCTATCTTGACAGTTAAATTTTAATCCCTTACACACCCTGTGTTTTTTTATGTTTAAAATAGTTTTATTAACCCTAATTTACTGTGTTAAATCCATTTACTTTTTTGTTATTAATTTAGTATTGTGACACTATTAAGGAGAAACTGGATGATCTAATCTTACCTAATACATGTTCTCAGTTCATGTTTGACCTGGTAGATGAAGGGGATGAGTGTATGATACAACTGATGCAGAAAACTACCAGAGAGAAAGAAAATGTTACGATGGGATTTAGCATTTTAAAGGTGGGTAATAAACAAGTAGTGGGTCATCCATAAATGATGTCACAAGCAGTGAGTTATCCATTAATTGAGTCACAGGTGGTGGATCATCCATTAATGGCATCACAGGTGGTGGGTCATTCATTAATGGCATCACATGTGGTGGGTCATACATTAATGGCATCACAGGCGGTGGGTCATACATTAATGGCATTACGCTCCTAGTCAGAGGGCGATTCTGAATTTTTGCCCTGAGGGAGAGGTTAAGAAATATTTAGAGGCATACATTTTATTCAAAGTAAATCTTTTTAAAAATGTTAATTTGGATTTCAGTGATAGTTTTATGGGGTTTGGGGAGTTAGAAATTAGTGATGTTTATTTATGGTATGGGGATGTCACGCTTTTTGTGGGGGGAGGGGGATGGGCGGAAATCTAATTCAGTAGAGTGATGTCATTTACTCTCCAACCTAACCATACCAAAACTTGAAGGTGGAGATGAACAGGGAGTACCGCATCCATGACGTGTCCCTACAAGAGAAGATCACGTCAACCGTCTACAGAAACAGCAGGTCCATTTTCCTGCGACATGGTCCAATGAAGAAAGGTCGCTATGTTGTTATACCATCGACCTTTGACCCCAATATTGAAGCTAGCTATTTATTTAGAGTGTACACCAGTTCCCACAATAACTTTAAGTAAGTTTTTTTCTTTACTTATTTAGCTAACCAGATTTCTTTATCATTTATGTCAAATACTGAGACACATAGTGACCACTTTAAATACTGTGAGTTACTAGATTTAATTTATTTGTGAAACCTGCTTGGCTAAAGGTTTTATTACTGGGATTTGCCCAAAGAGATGAATGTATGTTTTAAACACGTTGAACTAAAGGTTAATTGTTTTATCAGAGAGTTGACCAAAGAGATGAATGTATGCTTTAAACATGTTGAACTAAAGGACAATTGTTTTATCAGAGAGTTGACCAAAGAGAAGCCGGTCAAGAGCTGGTACAACTGTTGTGGTAAAGCACCGGTCATGGTGACCCACGTCCACATTGTTGGTGCTGATGGTCTAGAGAAGCAAGATCGCACTGGAGGTTGGTTTTATTATTGTTTGACCTCAGCTGTTAGACTGGATTGGTTGTAACACTGTCAGATTATCACAGCATATTTTTAATATGTGCATCTTTTATTATTTCAATCCTAGCTAAATTTCAAATATTCAAAACTATTTCAACAACAAATCCTTAGTGTAAATGCTTTAATAATTCCAGGAGCAGATCCTTACTGTAAATGTTTTAATAATTTCAGGAGCAGATCCTTACTGTAAATGTTTTAATAATTTCAGGAGCAGATCTTACTGTAAATGTTTTAATAATTTCAGGAGCAGATCCTTACTGTAAATGTTTTAATAATTTCAGGAACAGATCCTTACTGTAAATGTCTTAATAATTTCAGGAGCAGATCCTTACTGTAAATGTTTTAATAATTTCAGGAGCAGATCCTTACTGTAAATGTTTGAATAATTTCAGGAGCAGATCCTTACTGTAAATGTTTTAATAATTTCAGGCGCAGATCCTTACTGTATCATCTCCTGTGAAGGGACCACTGTCACCACATCATGCTGTAAGAACACAACTAATCCAGAGTGGGATGTGTCAGCATTGTTTTATAGATCCAATCCTACCAAACACCCGCTGAAGATTCAGGTGTGGAACAACAACATCCTGCGAGATGACCACATGGGCCAGCACCTGCTGACCACAACAGACGAGTGCAAGAGCCAGACTCTCATGCTGGATTTATTTGGTCACAAGAAAAATGAAACCACCGTGGCCAAGCCTGGGAAACTGACAGTTAGAATTACCCAATCCCGAAATTTGACATCTGTTTAGGTTTTCTTGGAGTGATTTTAAAATCTATTTATTATTTAGTCTGCGTGCATGAGGACAGTGTCTTGTAAAGTCACAAGAAATTTCTCCACTTGTCAACATTTCTAGTGATTCTTTGCTTCTCTTACAAAGTAACTTTTGGTTCCCTCTTCACCAATTGCCTTACATGGGACCCCAGCATTTAATTATATTGCTTTGTTAATTTTTATATTGTTTTATCTTTTGTTATAAAGATTTTCCTACGTTATAGGATTTTTTTTTAATTCCCACATTTAGATGTAGATCTAAATATTTTATTGTTTTAACATGTTTTTATATTCAATGAAAATAGACTAGTACAAAAATTTTATTTAGCAAGTCACAATTTCCTTCCATTATTTAGCTGTAGGCCTATATCAAATTCAGTTTGTTGACAAAATATTCCAGATTTTGTTTTTGCTCAAACAACTTTTACCAATGGCCAAAAACATTCTTTACCAACGCATTGGCTATCTCTAATTTGCCTACATTTTTTTTCTTCTTTTTAACTGTGCAACAAACGTAGAGGAAAACTTATAAAAGCTTTGGAGTATTAAATCACTTTGTTGTGAAGGCAAATGTTTTAAGTCAAGTAGACAGCATTAGGAGAAATCTGAAACAATTGATAGTTGCAGAAAAAAATAACTTTGTTCTCTGTATTTTCTTGGTCACTGTTTTGGACGAATGTAACCACATATTTAATATCTTTTGTAAGCAATTATTTATATTTGGTGTTACTTTTAAAAAAGATTTACTGATTAAATTCTTACAGCATTATTTTACTATGTATAGCCAACGGATGTAAAGAAAAATACTGTATCTTCGAGTATCTAATCTCTTTATAAATATGTCCCCTTATGTTTCAACCTAATTTATTTTCATGTATTTTATTGTGGCAAAATTTTAAAAAAAGTGAACTTGTTTATTTTCTCTTTTTTTAAGGGTAATATGCAATTTTTCTATTGAATTTTTACAAAGCAATATTTGTATGCCTTGTGGTGCTGACATTTCTGGTTTTAAGAACTTTTTATCTTTGTCAACTCTTACAATTTACAAGATAATTATTCCAATATTTTATTATTTTATATTAGTAAAAAACATTTGGTCTTGTAAGGTGTTGTGTCTAGACAAAAGAAAATAGCACTGTCAGTACTTACCTATGTACGGACTTAACCTAATGTACGGGTGGGTCTTACCTGGCCATAAAGTTTACCTGGGTGCAATAAAAACCTGGAACAAGTTGAATTTATGTCTAGATGCAGTTTTTTTAATCCTTGTACAAACTTTATATTCAGAGAAAGATAAAAATAATAATTCATCACCCAGTGTGACGCTCGAATAAGAATAATTCTATTGTAAATCATTCCTGTTACCACACAAATTTGATACATATGCGCCATTCTTAAAAAAATGAATAATTTCTGCAATCAAAGATCATTCATTTATTTTAGAAGTAACTAATTGAAAAAGAAATGACATAAATTGAATTTTCTTGCATTTTCATTTTAATATTGCAAAGCTAGTTTTGCTTCCTTTTTACTGGTAATGTCTGCTTTTTATTTAGCTTGTGACCCTATAAACCAACTTCATTATATATATATTAGGCCTATATATATAATTTATTTATGACCTTGTTTTTTTTTTAATTAAAATATTGTCAGCTGTGGTTACTTGGCATAATTTATTTGTTTAAATCAAGTTAAATATTGATGGTAATTAATTACTACACCTCATGTGGCCTCCACATGTTTTTATGGATTTAGATCTAATTATTTTATACACTTCTACCTTTTTTTTTTTCTAAGCATACTGGTAGGTCATTACAAAAAATTACTAAACATTCATTATAAATGTTGAAATCCAGTATAATTTATTTCTTCTAATTTTAAAAATAGCAGCACACTTAGAATATAACCAGGTTTAGAAGGCACACTGTCACAACCCAACAAATGTGCTCTTTCACTTGTTTTATTTTTTCAACTTAATACAACTTGTAAGACGTCTAAAATAGCAAAGTACTTATGGCACTGCAGTCTTTTTGTACTTCATCCTCTATGGTCTGATTTTTTAATTTGATTTAAGTTTATAATTTTTAAAAATGTGATATGTATATTCAGCTTAACAGGAAGAAATTCTGCAAAAGTGCAATTTTTTTTCTATTATATAACAGTGTCAATACTGTTTCTGATTTTAATTGAAAATAACCAAAATTTTTAAAATCAATATAAATGTGGCCACACATCGAAATTTCAAAGTAGTATGTTTTAAAATTACATAGTTCTTGAATCTTGCCTTTGTCAAGTTAACATTGAATTGTGTAGATGGCTTTCTCAGAAAATGTGCTGATTTGTTAGATATTTTGTATGAAATCTATAGATCTATTTACATTTCACATATTTACTCAATTTTATAAAGTAAAATATTTTAACATTTAAATTTGATTGTTTCTTTTGTTTGATGATGAAATAATAGAACTAAAGGATACAATACATGCATTCATTACCACACCTACTTTGCCAGGATATCTTCCTTAAAGCATGCCATTTTTGAAGTATAGCATTTTAAAAACAAATACATAATTGACAAATGAGGTGAAGTTATTTTTAAATGCACTTTAATCAATGTTAGTCATGTCAAAGAAAGTTTTGTACACAAAAATTCTTACATCTCAATTTAAAAACAAGGCAGCTTCTGTACCAACTCCCTATGTACACACAATGTACAGGCTACATGTACAATGCCCACACCACAATTTGTTTCTACCTTAACCTGTGTATATCATGTCAACAATGTTATCACATTTCAAAAAACTTTAAGCTCGCCACTTACTAAAACAAATGGTTTGTCATACATCAGGTGTTTTTCAATCAACACACCTGGGTCAATTTACAACTGTCAAATTTAAACTTTATAGACTATTATAGTCATGGGTTAGGTAACTGAAAACAGCATATATATATTAATATCAGCTGTTTCAACCAGTGTTTCTCATTGACTTGCTACAGAATCATGCCAGACATGGGGTCCTACCAGAGATAAACCCATTTCATAAGGTCCAGTGGTTAGTTGACCACCCCTCTTGTATCACCATCTACTATATTGCACTTCACTAACATGACACCGGCAATTCTTTACAGTGAAAAGTGACACCAACATTATGCAACCAGCTTTGACAATAATTCTTTATAAATTACATTTTATTCTAAAAAAAAAACTAAAAAATGTTGGACCTTACATAGTGAGCTATAAAAGAATATGCAGTCCTTCTATAGAACATGGCATGGCGGGAGTTCGTAATGCGTGGGAGGGGGAGGCAGGGGAAAATTTTAGCTTTATGGTGGGGGAGGGTGGTTAGTGAAGTGAAGGAAAAATAAAATAGGCTGTTAAATAATATAAAAAAAGTTTAAGCTCTTATAAGATTTACCAGCACTTAAATAAAACAAATATTAAAATATGCCTGAATTCTCCCCCTTACCAACCCTTTGTATTTAGTTATGCATAGTACTAGCAGTGTTTCCAATTAGTCAGCCCACACTTCCCCAATTATCACTGCAGACTGTTAGAGACATTAGCCTAGGACCTGGAAGTCTATGGTCTGCCCTAAACAATCAAAATCTTTTAGAGGATACAACTTTAATTATTGATCTTTAGTTTACTCTGGCTGTTTTTGTTATTGTTAAAATGTTCTAACATCCTAAGTAAAACATCCACTAACTTCAGTGCAGAGCAACTGGATTTTATTTACAATTCACTGAAGATATATTTAAAAGGACAAGTTAAAATTTGTACACTAAAATAGGGCTTAAAAACAAAACTCTGTAGTTTCTTGAGATTTCCCAGTCTGCATTCAGATCATCTGATTACCCACGCAATGCTTCTCCCAATGCCTGTTTCTGGTTCTCTGACAACTGTGACACACACTCTTGGAAAATATCTGGATTTGACTGAAGATCAAGAGATGGGTTCAGACATTTTTCAGAGTTAAAGGGAGAAATAATACATTCACAGATAACTTAATTAAGCAAAATAAAGTGGAGTATAAAGATTATAATTAAGTTTTTAAAAAGTATAAAATGTTAGATACTTAAAAGGATTAGCATAAAATGTTAACTTTAAATAGTAAGGAAAGTAAAATAAAAGCATGCTTAGAGAGTATAAATTATGTTAAGTTCGAAGTATAAATTAAAAAATAAATTATGATTTAAAAATAAGTCACCAAGTATTTAAAAATTAATTTGTAAATAATGATCACTAAAATAAAGAGCACATGAACAACTAACCTGCACTTGTTTAACAATATTGACAAGCCTCAAGTAAAGCGGAGTATCTTCCTGTATAAGCTCCCGATGTAATGTCTCTCCTACTATGCTGAGCACTTTCGGGAGATTGGCAGCATTTTCACCCATAATCCCTGGATGGTTTCTAAATAAATTGAGATACACACTTCATTTAGTCAGAATTTATTACATGGGTTGTATGTTAGTCACACAAATGCAATGATAAGTGTTGCAGAATAAGCTATAATGGTAGGTGTTACTGTTACCAAAGACAAAAACTAAGCACCTTAGAGTAGGTACACAACTTACTTGTCCAGTAGATCACAGAAATAGGTATAAACATGAACAGCTTCTTCCTCATCCATGAGAATGGGTAGCCATGAGACCAGCCTGTACAGCAGTTCATCTACATTGACCTTTGACCCATTATACTGGCATATCTTCACAACAGCTGAGATGGCGTTGTCTGTGGCTGGAATATTTTCCACTTGCTTGGAATCTTCATGCTCTATGACACTCACCAAACGGGGAATGCATTCTGGAATAAAAGGATGAACCAGGAAATTAATAAGTCTGTATCAACACATTCAGTCTGATATACAAAAGATAACATTTTAAATGGATGACTAAATACCAGAGTCCCACAGAACAGGTAAGTTACAGGATCTGACACCAAGTTTACCGCTCACCAACAAAACCACATGTAAAGAATGGCATCAAGTTTACCAATAAACAAAAAGAAATCAAATGGAAGTGTCACACTTGGTTTACCATCCAGCAAAAAAAAAAAAACCACACCAAGACACTTGGTTTACCATCCAGCAAAAAAAAAAAAACCACACACAGACACTTGGTTTACCATCCAGCAACAAAACCACACACAGACACTTGGTTTACCATCCAGCAACAAAACCACACACAGACACTTGGTTTACCATCCAGCAACAAAACCACACACAGACACTTGGTTTACCATCCAGCAACAAAACCACACATAGACACTTGGTTTACCATCCACACCAAGTAATGTAAAGTTTAACAACATTCCCACCTGCACAAACATCTGCATATGTTTCTCCTCCAAACTGGCCAATCACTCCAACACCATAAGCTGCTGCTTGACGAACCTCTGGAGTTTTATCTGTTATTGCTTCAATCATATATTCCAAGAAATATTCCCTGTATTTGTAAGAAATCTGAAATAAATGAGAGAATTGTTAAAAACCTGAGCCACAAAGAGATATCCTAAAGCTATGTTTGCCCTATTGTAAAGCCTAGAGACTCACTGGTCCTGTGTGTTCTATGACATCATCCCAAACACAGATTGCCCACTGTCTGTCTGGCCACGGCCGGTCTGCTGACTGAAAAGTGAGGAGAAAAAATATTTTAAAGCAAGAAAAGATGGTCACTCACCAAACTTTTCAAGAATAGATTAAATATTTAAAGGTAAATGATGATGAATTAGAATACCAAATGTTAATAAACTCCTTGCATTACCAAAAGTTTGACAAAGTATGAGAGGATCTGTTCAAACACAGGTAGAAAAGACTCTTTGTGGGTTCCAAAAAATGAGTGGAGAATATCAGCTATTTTACTCAAGATGTATGCATCTTCATCATCCTAGGAAAAATAACATTTTTGTCTTAAGCTCTACTTTAAAAACATGTACAAACAAAAAAGTCAATTGCAGCAAAAGTAATTACTTGCACATTGTAAACAATTAGTCAACCAGAATGTGTTGACATTTAATCATTAATTTTTGTGAAAATATTTGGTTCTAAAGTTGTGGCAGGAATACACACTTTTCTCCCTCCCTGCATGTTAGGTTCATGACAGTGGAAATAGACAATCTCAAATTACCTCATCCATTAAACTTTCCTCAACAATATCATCATAGTCTTCGTCTTTCCTTTTTTCTTGCCTCTGAACATGTCTAAGAAAATGTTCTTTCAACAATTTGTCTAATATTGTCACAAGAGTTGCCATATCTTGTTCGTTAAAACAGCCCTTGCCCAGGGTGTCAATGCACTAGACAAAAAAGTCAGCAATTAGAATAGTGAATGTTATGTTTTTATGTTATTTAAAATTCATATTAATTTAATATATTATATTTTAATACTTATGCAAGAACAGTAACCTATCTGAATATAGCCTAAACTAAAGACTAACCTAACAGCAAATTCAAAAATGTATTTACACATTGTGAAAGATCAGATATAAACAGATAACTATAAATTTTTCTATCATTCTTCAAATCAAAATGAGAATTAAATGTGTAAACTACATTATCAGATTGAGGTCATTTTATTAACTTGCCTAAGATCATGGTATTTTTACCTACCATTTGAAAGTAATATAATAGTCGGTAAGTTAAACAAAACAGCACTAACCTTAGCAAGTGATGCCAAATATTCTGGCAGCACTGCTTGTTCTGGCTCTATCTCTATAGCCTTGAGCAGGTTAGGACAAATGTATGTGCCCCACATGTTTGCAACATATTCCTCTCCGCGGATCTTGGCACAGTCTAATAAATACGGCAGGCTCTCTGTTGCTGCTATTCTTACATCTGGCAGTTGGTTAAGGCTGTAAACACTTGCACTCTTTTAAAAATAAATCTTACCATCATTTAAAAAACAGTTCAGTTTTTGTGTCCAAAGGATACTGTCATTAAAATAAAATTTAAGGAGTGGAACCATCAGTTTCACCACCTCCTCTGAATAAGCAGCAAATCCCTCTTTCAGCTCACGGGCATAACAAACCAACATCTGGCAAGCCGTTGCCTTCTCCTCTAGACCCGCCGTACAGATGCCAAAATTTTGCTGAAAATTTAAAACAAAAAAGATTTTCATTTGAAAAATTAACATCTTTTTGTTTTAGACTGCTGATCTTGTCAAAAGTTTTTTAAAAATGTAATAGTTGTAGAATGCAGTTTTAAAAATAAGTTAAATAATTGTAGAATATGGCTTTAAAATTAACATACCTGGTCTCCAAGGTTAACAAACTGCCATTCTGAGCTGTTCTCCATTTCTTTCATGTCCTCACTATCTATCACAGCCACCTCTGGTTTTAGAGATGCAGCCTTCAAGACTGGGCCCATTACCAAGGGAAGGTACTGTTCAAACTCTTTACCTAAGATCTTACACATCCTCGCCCAGGCCGAAATCATGTATGTTATCTAAAACAAATAATAGAACATCAGGGATTTTAAACATTTTGATTACAAAGCAGGCAAATTAAATTAAAATTTAAAATATGCTATGAATGCCAACAGGCCACATCTAAATTAGGTTCTTCTGGTATCTCTCACGTAACCTCAGAGTAAAAACCTATATAATTGGCTACAACAAATGCATGACAAACCTGTGGATCATCATCTGCCATTTCCTCTTCATTTGTTTGTGCTTTCAGTAACAGTTGCATGACATCATTACAATCCTGCATGAACTTTTCCTTGCCGACAGCCAGACCTATTAAACTAATACACTCAATAGTCTTTCCTCTCAGGAGACGGTGGTCTGGGCGCTGCACCTGCTCCATTATGAACTTCAAACAGGGCATGAACCTAGGGTAAACAATTCATATCATGAACAACTGCTTCAAACAGGGCATGAACCTAGGGTAAACAATTCATATCATGTGACCAACTGCTTCAAACAGGGCATGAACCTAGGATAAACAATTCATATCATGTGACCAACTGCTCCAAACAGGGCATGAACCTAGGGTAAACAATTCATATCATGACCAACTGCTTTAAACAGGGCATGAACCTAGGGTAAACAATTCATATCATGACCAACTGCTTCAAACAGGGCATGAACCTAGGGTAAACAATTAATATGACTAACTGCTTCAAACAGGGCATGAACCTAGAGTAAACAATATCATGACCAACAGCTTCAAACAGGGCATGAACCTAGGGTAAACAATTCATATCATGACCATCTGCTTCAAACAGGGCATGAACCTAGGGTAAACAATTCATATCATGACCATCTGCTTCAAACAGAGCATGAACCTAGGGTAAACAATTAATATCATGACCAACTGCTTCAAACAGGGCATGAACCTAGGGTAAACAATTCATATCATGACCAACTGCTTCAAACAAGGCATGAATCTATGGTATGGAAATATGGCCACAAGACTTTCATTAATAGGTTAACTGAGGGCACAGACAAAAATCTGACCTGTCGTAGTACTGTAGGAATCTATCTTGTGCGGTGTCAGCCACTGATGCTAATGTAGTAATCACCTGTTCCAGCACCAACTTACTGCCTTTTTGGATGTGCTGTAACAGAAGCAAGAAACAAAGTTTATACAAGTCATTCAAAAGTTTCATAAATTCAACATTTAGCCTAGTCCATTCGTTAATCAAATCTAACTTTTCTAAAACTATTTGAGAGTAATGATTTCCTTCTTTGACCCATTAATCTAATCTAAATCAGTATTTCATTTAGTTTTGTCTAGTCATTTCTTCTCTTATGCCCAGTATACTAGATAATTTTTTATGAGCATGGAACAGGTTTGATGAATCCCACAAGATTTGGGGGTTGGGGAGGGGATGTGTGTGTGTGTGTGTGTTTGTTTAATACTAAAGCTAGATTAGTGAAAAAGAATGCCAAGTTACCTCATTTAATTTACTGGTCAGCACCTGCTCCAATTTGAGAATGATAGTGTCTAGGTACTGGACAAGTGTGTGTTTGGGACATTCTTCACTGAAGTTGACTAGAGCAGCGGCACCATGGGCCTGGACCCTGGGGTTGTCTTTGTCATCAAGTATCCCCAACAGGGCTGGAACAATCTGGTTCAAAACATTCATGGTATTAGACTGGTAATGGGTGCAAGATAACTTTCTGTACCACTCAACATTCATGGTATTAGACTGGTAATGGGTGCAAGATAACTTTCTGTACCACTCAACATTCATGGTATTAGACTGGTAATGGGTGCAAGATAACTTTCTGTACCACTCAACATTCATGGTATTAGACTGGTAATGGGGGCAAGATAACTTTCTGTACCACTCAACATTCATGGTATTAGACTGGTAATGGGTGCAAGATAACTTTCTGTACCACTCAACATTCATGGTATTAGACTGGTAATGGGTGCAAGATAACTTTCTGTACCACTCAACATTCATGGTATTAGACTGGTAATGGGTGCAAGATAACTTTCTGTACCACTCAACATTCATGGTATTAGACTGGTAATGGGTGCAAGATAACTTTCTGTACCACTCAACATTCATGGTATTAGACTGGTAATGGGGGCAAGATAACTTTCTGTACCACTCAACATTCATGGTATTAGACTGGTAATGGGTGCAAGATAACTTTCTGTACCACTCAACATTCATGGTATTAGACTGGTAATGGGGGCAAGATAACTTTCTGTACCACTCAACATTCATGGTATTAGACTGGTAATGGGTGCAAGATACACTTTCTAGACCATTCAACGTTCATGGTATTAGACTGGTAATGGGTGCAAGATAACTTTCTGTACCACTCAACATTCATGGTATTAGACTGGTAATGGGTGCAAGATAACTTTCTGTACCACTCAACATTCATGGTATTAGACTGGTAATGGGGGCAAGATAACTTTCTGTACCACTCAACATTCATGGTATTAGACTGGTAATGGGTGCAAGATACACTTTCTAGACCATTCAACATTCATGATATCAGACTAGTAATCTTTCTGGACCATTGTTTTGATTACTTTTCAAACCAGTTATAAAATTATTACCTTGTTGTGAAATTTCTTTTGACAGTTAGGGCCAAAGTCTGTGCATAACTGACCGAGAGCATTGCATGCAGCATAGCGAACACGTGGGTGCTAGAAAAAAATAATTGATTTAAAAATATCACCTATACCATAAATAAAAATATTGACCAAAAAAAACTTCTGGTTCTAATTTTTTTTTTAATTATTTTGTCAACATTTGGATGTTTAAATGGAATCAATCAAAATTTCCTTTATAAAATGGTTTTATTAAATAAAATCCTAATTTGAATTTAAGAGATCAGCTGTTTTCTAGATTTTGAAAAATCATACCTAAAAATAGTTTAATAATGGCAATAAGCCCTTTTCTTTTTAAATAATCTGTAGACAAGCGTTTAAAGAATGTGAACCCATAATGTTAGAGACTCACTGGGTCTACAGCAAAAGGTAAGACAGCATCAACAATGTTGCCCAACATTTGTTCCATATGGGAGTGACAGCCTTCCCCACAAGCAGACACTGCCATTAGTCCAGCATAACGATATTTCCAGTCAGCTGAAATACACGTGAATTTTTTTTAAGTCTATGAGATCAATAAATTCTAAGATTTTAACAGTAACAAAACCAATCAATGGGGTCAAGAAAGGGAGCTTACCATGTTGTAACATGTGAGAGATGTTGGATATAATGTGAGGCAGCATGGTCTTGCCTCCTAAAGCACAAGCCAACCTGTCTAGAGCTGCTTCACCTGCTATGGGGTTCCTAAAAAAAGAAGAAAGTTTGGACTACAAGACAAAAGAAAATCCAGTATATCTGAAGTTGCATTTCAAACTATTTTTAAGATGTATTGCTACTTTAAACCTGACCATATCTCTGGTCTAACTGATGCAGGCTGAAAAAAGCTTGAATTAATAATGGTGTGTTTCCATGGAATGAAAAATCTAAAACCCGTTAAAACTATAATATATTATTTAATACGTGAAATATTGAACTAGCTAGTTAAGAACTTACGAATCTGTATCGTCATCTTCTTCTATGTCCTGTAATGACCATTCAGGATCATCTTCTAAATCAACCATTAACGCTAAAACCTGTTGTACTGTCAAAAGAAAACAAAATTAAATGAAACTAATATTTAACACATTCTTTTCAAAGCATATACTATCAGGTTAGAATCTAAAATGACTTTCCCTAGAGATGAGAAAAGTTTAAAGGTAATTTAAATAGTTTTATTGAGAAAACTTACCCAGAAGTGGAATGAATTTAGCATATTTCCTAACCATAGCAGGTGCAGTTTCAGACATAGTGACTATCACCTCTAGTGCAAGTTGTCTCCAAGTATCATCTAGATTTGCATCAGAGACAATCTGGTTTGGAAAAAAATAATTTTAAATCAAGTGGTAAGTTGCGATGTGTGTAAATAGTTCTCTTCTAAAATGTGTCAAACCCCCCACCCCCCTCCCCAGGTAATTCCACATACTCGTAAGCAGAGCTCAAATACAGTTTCCAGCTGACTACGCAGGAACTTTGGAACAGTCTCAGACAGTTCAATTAGGCATTTGAGTAAGCTGTCGTCTTCTTGGGCTGTTACACTGTCCGCAATACCCTAGTGATACCAAGAAAATAAAGCAATTAACAAACATGTACAAAAGTAGGTAAGCATTAGGTACTCAAACTAATGACGGGTAGAATATTTAACTGAAACTACATTTCACTGTTCTATTTATTTTAAAAATACACAAAAAGGAAGAAACTAACATTTTATTTTTTTTTTTGTTACTAACCTGAATAAGCATGGGCAAGAGGTCTTTGAAATGATTGAGAAGACCAAGTTCTTTGTCATTGTGCACAATAAATGCAGTGGTAGCTTTTACAGCTTCAAAACACACCTGAAAGTTGTTGAACATTATTAGTAAATTATTTTTATAAGTGTAGTGGGGGGGGGGGGGGGAAGGAGGAGAGAAGAGAAATTAAAAGAATTAGTTGCAAAGACTACATTACTTGAGGGTGTGTTCTGTCCATTAAAGCAGCACCCAGCATTTCCTTGATAACTTCTAGGTACTGTGCTTGTTGATTCCCAAATATGCCTGGCACTGCCCTAGAGAAATTAAATAAATTGATAAAAAATATAGGATTTATTTTACTCATGACATATCTACAACACTTTATAGTATGGCCTTATCGGCATTGTTAACAAAAGCTGAAATTACTTTTCATGCTAAACTAATGTGTTCAAAATCTTGGAATCTTACGTTAAAATATGGAGGGCACTCTCCTTCAGCACTGGATTATCTGATGTTGCACATTCAAACAAAAACTTCAAAGCCTCAGGCCAATGCATGTTGTTATCATCATCTAAAAGTAAAATAAATCAATTTTATAAAAACCTAGATGTACAACAAAAATTGAATAAAATTATGCAAGATATATATTTATATTATGTTTTACCTATTAAATTTCTTGCAAGTTCAGAAAAAGCATCAGAAATCTTTTTACGAATAGCTGGAACACTTTCTTGATGCACAGCAGCCATCAATTCTTGTTTAAGTGCATTCTGTATATCAGGTGTTATCTGTTGCCAGAGGGTCTCAAAATTGCTGGTGAAAAGTCGTCGTAAGAGAACAGCAGCCAGTGATCTTTGCTGGAAAACAGTGAGGCATAAAAAGGTGAATAACTGTTGTGAAATTACTTGGACAAGGTAGAAAAGTACAGTAACTACTGGCTTCTGTGCTACAGTTAAGACAAAAGGACCAGTATAAAAATGTGTATTGTTATCAATTACTTATATAAGTTTAATGATTTTATAATAACAGAGAAAGTAAAGTTGTAGTGGTGCTTATACAATATCTAAATGCTGAGGCAAAAGATGACTAGAAATGGAATTATAGATTTTTTTCAATAAAATATTGCTACCACTTACTTCAGGTCCAATATCCACATTTCTGATGGCTTGCATGAGGCAGACCAATTTATCAGCCACCGCAACATTATCATATGTTTGCTGCAAAGAATCAAATTATTGTAAAAATAATTCAGTTTTAGTTTAAGAAGAGGCTAAAACTGCTTAAGTTCTAAACCAGTTTTTTTTTAATTTAGCAGATTATGTCTGCCTCTTATCTCATAAGCAACAACATGGTCAAATCAAACTGCTGGCTAACTGAAGAAGCCTCCAAATAATACTTTAAATTCAGAGAAATAAAATAGGTTGTCAGAATCAATAGCAACCAGGAATGTAGAAGAAAACAATGACATAAAAAGCTGCATGATAAAGTCAGAACTGCCTACTCAAGATATGAAAATTTTAACAAGCCGAATATGTAACTTGGGAGCAGAAATCAAAAGTAACCACTAGGGAAAAAAGATTTTTTTTTTATGGAAGACTAAAGTTTAACCATTCAGGCATAATTGAGCTAACTGTTAAATTTAATTAAATTCTACCCACACTAGAGGAAAAAGTGTTTTAAAAAGCTAAAATAAGATGATTTAGCTGATTATCTTAAAATGTTGGGGGCACCTATTGAATTTTTTTTTCACTCTCCAAGTTGATGGTTTTGGGGGTAATTATTTTAAGGAAGTATCTAGTCAGACCTGGGTCTTAATAGCCACAGCCCCCACAAGGACCCAGCATAAAGTTTGGTCTATAAGCTGTATTAAAATGTATAAATTATGTCCATTTGATTTTTTCTTGTGGATTTACTAGTAATTTTATTAAATAGTTCAGTGGATTTGCTATTAATAGGATGTAATGATTTCTTATTACCAGATATTTATACACAAAATTATAAAATGTTGCCAATTCAATGTGAGGCGTTGTGACAAAGTGGGGAACATGCATGATAAATCACAAAGTTATGGGTGAAAACAAACTGCACCTAGGTCCAAATAGACGCAGTCGTATTTAAAAGTTCATTTATCCTAGAGAGGTTCTTCCTACTAACATTATGAAACCAGTAGACAAGCTAATATAAGACACAGCCGTGAATGGTCAAAAAGGCTAAGCCAATTAACTATTCTAAAAATCGTGCGTGATGTTATTAAAAATAATTAAGGTTATAAAAACATGACTGCTTGACCCTTTTTTGTATGGATGTATTTGATGTTTAGGTATTTTGTGTAACTAAACACCACAATTTTGAAAAAATGCAAAAACTATTTGGTTGTTTACATTTTATCACAGAAAATATAAACAAAATTGCAGTATTAGGTCATGTAGTTTTAAAATTTTGAGGCCTATTTAAAATTTGTAACTGCAAAGTTTTGAGAACAAAGTTCTATGAAGTAGGGTGTTCAGAAGATCAATCACCAAATTCTTGTACAGCCAGTCAATGTTTAGGGGACAGAGTGGTCTAGTTCAAAACCGGGTTCAAGCCAGTAGACCATACTATCTCTTCATATGCTAAGGTCACAGAAACAAGTGAAATCAACTTCCCTTGCCCCATAGACCGTCAGGTTTGAAACGGAACTTTACTTTCTACAATCAATGTTTGTCTTACAAAAGGGAATCTTTAGGTTATAACTTAATCTTGATGAAAATAAACAGAAATGTAGTCTTAAACTCATAAAATTATTTTCAAATTATCTGGATTTGCATTTTTATGACGATTCTAAAAAATATAAATTTCTAAATTATTTCTAGGCTTTTAACTAAAGAAAACACTTTTATCCATGTCAACTATAATGATCAAATCCAACACATTCATTAAGATTTCTAACTGCTTAGGCTAGACCTTTGACAACTGGATGTAGATCAAAGTCTCAAATAAACCAAATTAAAAGCATGAGGCAAGTATTATTATTACTGATTTGACAGGTAAAATGCAAGATGCAAAAAGGCGAGGTGGTAAAATGAGACTTATAATATAGGACGAAAAAAAAAATTATATTTAAATGAAAATTATAGTTACTATAAAGTAGAGAAAAATATTATAGACCTATTGGCCAACATTTTTCTATAATCCTACTTTATAATAAAGTAACACATTTTTAGTGTGGTGTTTCAGGCAGTTTTTTAAACTAAATCTAGATCGTATTCAAAGTTGACACAACAGAGAGAAGTTGTTCTGTCTACAAAGTTTACATTGCTTTGCGGCTTTACATGCATTGACCTAATTTGGAACATGTGCCCCCCTACTGTCTGCGGTGTGGTGTTTACAACTTTGCATGCTCAACTTGAAGACACAAAATATGATCAAAATAATAAATTTATAATCTGTCTTCTTTGTATTATTTACATATTTTCCAGCATCAGCAGATGAATAGCTAGGCCAATGCAAAAATTTAATTTCAGTAAAACAATATAATAGTTACATATTTGGATAGGGGCTGTCAATCTGATTACAGATCAGTTTGAATTTTCAAAATCTGACCATAAACAAAAAAGTTATGAATTTTTTTGTCATTAAAAAACAGCAGTTTTTTCAGACAACCGGGGTAGACCCTGAAAGAGGAAAAATACTGGGAGGGTATGGACCAAATTTTTAAGAGTTTTTCACTAAAAGCAGTATAAAAGCAAGTAGACTTCACCAATTGATATCATTTTAGGATATTTTATAGATTTTTGTATGCCGAATCCAATGATGCTATTTTAAAAAGTGTCCTTCAATTACATAATCGACTAATCTCATAGATTATGTAATACCCCCCTTTAAATTTTTTTAAAACATCTAATAATCAATGTGATAAGAAGTCATTGTTTAAATGTAACACTGTTTTAATCTATAATATGATATTTATATATGCTGAAGATAATGGTAGTATTTAAAATGGTCCAACATTGTTACATAACTATCAAATGTTAAGGTTATGTAATACCACCCTTTGCTCAAAATATACCATGAATTAGTTTTGAAATCACTTTTGTCAGTTAACTTCAAGTTAATAGCCTACTAAAAGAAAATATAACTAATCAAGTTTTACAATACAAAGAGAAGAATGCTATTACAATAGTAAATTTGTGATTATGTAACTTCTTAAAAGATGTTATGTAATCTATGTCCAATACTATAGGCCTACTCTATTCCAAAAATGTAGGCCTATTTCATTATAATTTTATTTCTTGTTATTTTAAATATCATACAACTTTTTGCTATAGAATTAGTCTAGTTACAAATGTGTCAGATCGGAATCAGAGTGTGCTTTATGGTAATTACGTAATATTATTACCCATATTAAAATTAATAATTTTTACAATTTCAATAAAATAATTTTTGGAGGAAAATATTTTTTTTAAAACTTGCACAAGGTATAGATCTAGTGTAAGTTATAGGTCTATAACATAAATTTTATTTAAGCCCAATGTTTATGCTAGTAGTAAGTAGGCTTTTGTATTTTACAATTAAAAACTTCCTTAAGAAAAAAGCAAGTGTTGGAGTGCTTGACTGTGTGGATCTAGTAGATTCTAGAAACTGTGTAAGATTACCGTGTTTGCCTATACACAGACACGTGTACCACCACAAGCTTTTGCCTAGATTTTGTTTAATCTGACTAGCCAGATCTTCTGACCAACGAATTTTATTGCCCTATTACGTAAACACGACCGCTGGATAGGCTAGTCGGCCAACCCGATGAACGTGTCAGACGAATGTTATGTAATTTCAGAGACAAAAGTCTGGCAAGATTTCTTGATCTTTGCCCGAGGGTTAGTAACATCAACTCCACAAAGTGAAGGGGGAGGTAGGTGGGGTATGAAACCACCACGAACTGAGTAGGTACCGTACGGGTGTTGTACAACATCAAAGGCCAGGACCGTCGGCTCGTCGCGTCACGGACTAGTGGGGGCGGGGTGAGGCTTACGTAGGCTATGGGTGTTACATTGGGTGTTATACAGAATGCCCACCCACCCCACCCCTTTTTGGTCAATTTGGCAGGCTAGTATCCTCCACGTTGTTAAGCGTATTTAAATGTGTAGTGAAAAAAAGGGGGACCGGGAAAAAAAAATTAAAGCAGTTTTTATGAAAAAGAAATGCTCTAATTTTAAATGAAATTAGGGTGCGCAAAACGCACAATTATTATAATCGGACAGTAACCATCTGGATTAATTTAAAAAACAAGATAAATTTTAATCCTGAGCCGTAAATATTAATAAGACTTTTTTCCCCGTTTAATTAAATGGGTAAGGACAAAATTATGAAACATGCCTGTCGGCTTATAGATCTAATCTATATAAAATAGAAATATCCGTCGAGTCTAACACGGGAACACATGTAGGCCTATCTATCTTTAGAAATTGTTTACAGTATCATCCAATCGGATCGACCGCCTAGCGTCACGTGACCAGGCATTCGGATGTGCCACACGGTGTGTAGATCGACACAGCATAGCAAGCAGTCGGACAGTGGTCAGCGCGTTAACTTTAATTTTTGCTCCGGTTTAAAATGTATGGGCGGCTTTATTTGGGGGTATTGTAGAAAACATCATACATATAAATAAACGTCCAGATTTAAGCAATGCAGCGCAGGGTTCAAATTAAAAATTGGTCTGTAACTAACCCGGGAAACTTGGTTCAACTTTGCTGTACGATATCTCCGAAAGTATTTAATATATTTTGACGACGAACCCTGCGCTGTATACCTCTACATCTAATATGTATTTCTGCCAAGTTTCACTGTTGTAGTGTGTAAACTCGATTCGTGTATAAAAAATTTGTAACGCGTCGTCTGTTTAAAGACGGCGATTCGAAGCACAGCCGAGCGGTTCAGTCGGACAGCGGTCGGCGCGTTATGTTTTGATTTTCGGTCCACTTCAAAGTCTATAGACGTCTCTATCTTAGGGCATTATAGTACAAATCATACATATTAATAAACGTCCAGATTTCAGCAATACAGCGCAGGGTTCAAATTAAAAATCGGTCTATAAATAACGCGGGAAACTTGGTTCAACTTTGCCGTACGATATCTCCGAAAGTATTTAATATATTTTGACGACGAACCCTGCGCTGTATACGTCTACATCTAATCTGTATTTCTGCCAAGTTTCACTGTTGAAGGGCGAAAACTCGAAGAGTCTATAGACTCAAAGTAACACCCCTGTTTTAAAAAGGTGAAAAAGCCTCCCCCTTAATCGGCACGTCGCCGCGGGGGGTAAAAAATGCGATTCAATCTGCGATTTCTTCAACGTCTGAAATCATATTAAAATCAAACTTATACAGTTAAAAAGGTTATTCAATTACGAACAGAATGATGTATAACATGTTAACATAAACATAATAAAAGCATGCAAAAAATAGAGTTGAACATGCAGGGGGTAGGGAAAAGCCGATTTGTCCGATTTTCTCGGCAGCTGCATTGGCCTAGCTAAGATGAAACACACACTTTATACACATCGAGATGGAGTCTACAAAATATTCCGAGGACGAAAAGGCAAACAAATATTCAGGTTAGTAAGTGTTGCTTCTGTCTGCAATATTTTGAGATTTTGTGGCGTCATCTTTTTAGGATTAGAGCTAGATCTTTTTTTTATTATTTATATGAATGTGAGTTTTAATTAGAAAAGGTGAACGATTTCTGACAGCCCCACTTTTTAGTTTTTTTTGTTTACAAAACTTTGCAGATCTAGTTTTTAAATAACAATGCAAATTTAAACCCTGTAACCTAGTTTTTCTTTTTTAGCCTACAATGTGTACAATTAAATTTATGGCTCCCTATCGAATAGCAGGATGCCATTGTTTATGTCACCATAACACATGAAAACCAAATTGTTTTTGCTTTTTTTTTAAATTTTTATTTAGTTAGGCCTACCGAAAATATTAAAAACATCAAATACATCCAATCTTTAGTAAAGTCGGAACAAAATCAGACAGACAGGATTTTATAACCATATTCATTGTAACTACACCGTGCATGATTTTTAAATTAATTTATGGGCCTCTCAAATATCTTTGAGACTTTTCTCGCTGGTGTCCATTAAATAGCGTGTGATCGTCAGCGGGAGAAAAATCCCTTACACTGTCGAGGATTCACTGTGAGTTCACATTGACTTTAGATTCAATTATTAGCATATGTCAAAAGTCATAGCTTGGGCAATAGCTAGTAGATCTAGATCTCTATTTTAAATGGTGTTGGCCTCGGTTTTGGGGTCATCATGAGTTAGGCCGTTCGATTCACAGCTTCCGGGTTTGTTGTTTTGAAGCCATCTCACGGCTCATGCGCTTACCAAAAATGGCGACCAGTTTCGCTTTCACTAATGGGTAGAGGGATAAAACTAATGATTACGAAGCCATCGTTAATTTTAGAAATCGGAACTATCCGTTTCTATTTAAGTCTATTAATTAAGAATTGTCGGATCTACTTTTGGCCTAATTTCTTTGTTTGTCTCGCAAGCGGCGCCTTAGTGAAAGTAGCTCTATATAATTCTCATCTTTCGAATCAAATAACTCTAAAATACCCCGTGTATAATAAACCAAACTATGTGTATATGAAACTTGAAAGTATCAATTTTACACACATTACAATTAACTGGTAATAACTTATGGTCGGAATGAGATGTGGTCCGTTCAAGTAATAATGCCATTTTATTATAATCTTTTTTGGTGAACACGAGGCGCGGGAAAATGTGTGCCGCGCAAGAATCCAATCATTTGGCTAGGTTTATGACTGTTTTTTTATGTCACACCTAAAAATAGAATGTTTACGCTTTCTTCATTGATGATCGTTTTTATTATTTTTTAAACTGAAAGTATGAATTATTAGTTAGATTTTAGGTTTTGTAGCTTGGTATACTTACCCTTTATCAATTTTAAAAGCATAGCATGCTGATTGTGAACAGATAGTCATAAGACACAGAAATAAAATGTTACATGCGATGTGCCACACCCGGGTCACACCCCCTCAAGAAAACACGTGTTTATTAAGCTGTTTATCTCACTTTACAACAGTAATTAAAATTAATTGTCAAATTTTTATTACTTATTGGGTAATATTAAGCACATGTTTACTAATAGTTAAAAAGAAACATAAGTAAATTCTGTTTTAATGAAGGTCACGGGTCAAGTTTTTTTTCCTTCTTTCAAGTTCAGTGGAGGGTGCCACAGGCTGACCTGACTTTGGAATTTTTTTCAGTAATAATGACTTTGCACAGAAAGTTAAAATATGCTAAATTAGCTTAGTTTACTAGTATTCTAGCTATTATTAATACATTTTTAATAAAAAAAATCATTCTGTAATTCTCATCAAAAAGCCTATCATGAGTTCATGAAAGTTTATTTATAGCGTTTAATATTCCAAATTTGGATTTTTCCAAAGTTTTGACAAAAGTAAATTATCAAAACTAAATCAAAACTTCATGACATAAAAAAATAAGCCCAATGTTTTCCTAACGTTTTTGTATGTTTCGGTTGTGTTTATAATAAAATACGCTCAACTCAGTCAACTGGAGGTGAACTTGAGCGGGGAATAAAATATGCTAAAATGGAGTTTTACCTGACAATTTTCCCCTCATTTTGAAAAAAACGCGTTACTTTTGAACTATAAAATAAATTTAGGATTCTAAACTGCTGTTTTGACACTTGACACACTCTCACACTGCAACAATGACGTTGTCACGTCTTACCAAAATGCTTAGAAAACGTGTTTCATTGGCCGGTGCCAATGTAGTCGACTCCCTGAGACTGGTACAAAAAAATTAACCATAGAATCCAGTCTAGATTTAGAAATCTATAAATATTTTTAAAACATTAGATCGGTACGTTTAACACGGACATAAAAGCCACGACCACCACATGCACGGCGGCACGGTGAAGAAGATGGTGTGGCAGTGCTTGTCAAGCCCCCATACAATTGAGAATTAAAAACAAATTCACGGTAACGATGTAGATTTACGTTTGTAAAAGAAAGCGTTAATCTTAAATTTTAAAGTTATACCTCAGCCTGAGTTCTGGCATCATTGTCTGAACTCATAAGACTCAAAAGGAGTGCCTGAAAATCTTGATGACCCGCCATCTTCGAATGTGTATAATGTTGCAAAGGCATGCTCCAGAACCCTTGACCCGGAAACACCCATACTACCTATTATCGCTATCATGGGAGATAATAATGGAATTTATTTTAAAATTCATTTCTTATTATAGTTATCATCAGACCTATAAATTATATTTATAATAAGCCTAAAGGCCTAAAGCCTAAAGACTTTAGTTATACTAATATAGTAATATGTGTAGGATAAACTATTCGACTACCTTCTCCCTATTTATTTGTATCCAATGTATTATATATAATAATATATTACAATGAAACGGCACAGAGTGTAGGCCTGTCAATATAGTATATAAAGTATAATAAAGTATATATTTATTTAACATATATATTCTAGATCTACAATATATTTTGTAGTAGATCTATTCTAGAGTCTATATAGATATATCTAGGTCTAGATATTGTAGATAATCTATACAATTTTCAATTTATACAATTTAACAAATATTGAAATAATCTACTGTTGTATAGATCTATCTATTTCTGATATATGCCTATAGTCACAAGAGAGTCAGTCAAGGCTGGTTAGCCTATCAACTTCAATTTGTTTGCAGTTTTTGATAAGTCTTCAGTTCAACAGCTTGTCAGCACCAAAGTCCCTTCAAGTGGTGACAGATAGACATGCCAATCTGGATAAGGGCTATAAAGGGATATGTTAAATTATGTTAGACATGTAAGCAGGCTTTGTGAATGAAATAGTAATATTAAACTATTAAACATAGTTTTTTTACAATTGCCTTATTGAGGCAGAGGTACAGAAAAGTAGCTATTAACTATTAAGAAGACAGAAATGGTGTGGTTTGGTAGGATCAGATCATCTTCCCTGGTGTTGCCCCCCCCCCCCCCCTCCCAAGGAGATGCCTGGAAGAAACTCTTAACTGGAAGCATGCTATGTAGCAAAATTATTCTGTAGTATGGCATTGTATAAATAAAATGCTGTGTATTTATCATGACCATTACCAGTTAAATCATGGATACACTTAGTCTCAGAAAAAAAGACTTGCATATATATAAATAGAAGCTATTATTTTGGAAAAAAAATAGAGCATTAAAACAAAATCTCTGCTTATTGTATTGTATGTCCAAATCATGATATATTTGCTAACAACTACTTCCGTTTTCCTACTTTGAATAATTTTGTGTTTTATTACTTCTGTGTTAACTTGTAATATTTCTAGTGTTGCTATTTCTACGTAATTTTTACATATCTAGACAAAGTACAATGGACTGGGTGCAAACAATCCTTAGTTACTTTGACAGGTAGGCTTTATTAAAATTTGTATCTTTATAATAAGATGCTGTTACATTAAGGGGAGATTAGCATTGTGGTATTCTGGAGAAATTAACATTTTACACTTTCCCCTCAGTTGATATAGGCCTATTTAAAAACCTTTTTTTGTGTACCTACATGCAGGTTTTTATATTCGTAGAGAAATTGTTTTAAATGCTATGGCATATTTTAAAGTATCATTTTTTCTTAAATAATAAAAAATCAGTCAATGAGTTAAAGTATTTTTGTTTTATTTTCACCATTTTTCTTCAGTTTTTTTCAACTCATATTGACAATGTATTATTTTAACAAGTACAGGCATGTCAAAGTGAAGACAATATAATGATTATAGCAACATTCAATCAACCATTCTACACTCAAATATGATTTGAATGATACTGCAACATGACAAAATGGATCTTAAAACACTAGCATCCACTGCTGTAATAAGCGAGGGACATCACTACAAAACAACATCAGTACCTGATTTAGTCAAGGACAACTTCTACAGCCAAAATAAAATAATCCTTTAGCTATCTGATTTTAATAAAAATTCACATAAAAATGATAGCTTGTTGTCTACAACTTCCTAGTGGGTAAATTATCCAAATACATTAGGTGAACCGTAATTCTAGTAATTTTTTGTATTAAACTTTTATCTCACCTTAAGTGTTAGCATTTTATGCAGAAACTGTAGCAGCTACAATTTCTTATTTAGTCTAATTCAGTTATTCAGGTATTGTCATTATACAAGTGAAGAAAAATGTCCATAAAATTTGGGTAAAAGCAATTCTTAAAAAGAATTATTTAAAGCTAAAAATATTTGTAACTAATGCAATATAATTATATTTGTCATAATACAAACTAATAAAAGTTAGGTTTTAATAAACCCACTCTTTTTAACTTTTTAAAAGAAATTCAAGAATTAAGTCAAATAATTGTGTATAAATTTTCTATTTAAACACAAACAAATGGAGGCAAAATATATGTATTTTTTTTTTACAGTAAAAGTTGGGATAATATCTGTTAAGAAATAAAAATCAAATAAAAAGGCACTTATATTTCAACTGTCCATGTTTAACATTAGATTATATTCTGAGGTTTCAATTCTGGTCAAATGAAATGAAATGTGTCTATCTTCTAAAGATTCTATTTTCCTTTTAACTTATCAACAGGTTAGGCTACTATTTATCCCAATTTTCCAGATTAAAAATAACAGCAGCATAATTGAGAAGTTTAAATATTTTTAAGACCTTCCAGTTGAAAACAAAATTGTAATAGAAAAGTAGCAACAAATCCTTCAACTAATAGGACAAGAAGTTGATGAAGCAGCATTCAGTAATTTTGTTTCACATTGAGCAAATGGGTGGTAACAACAACAGAAAGTTGTTTCTAAAAATAACTTTTTTTTCCTAATGGCTCTTCAAAGTGCTTAAAGGAAATTGTGAAACTAACAACATCAATCAGGTTTATTACTATTTATACATCTAAATGCATGTCATGGAGTAAAACGGACTGAAACAAAGGTAGGACATGATTCTGTACAGCTGTACTAAGCAGATACATAGGAACATTTTTAAACAGAAAATGTTTACTTTTACAACATTCCCTGAACAAAATCGTTTAAAATTTTGAGGTATGGGGCAATAATATTTTTATTTTTATGCTATTGTTACAACTGAAATTGTTTAAATTTGGACAGAGAAAAAAGACCATTAAGAATGGGTGTAAAAAAATTATGTCTTAAGAACTAGATTATGAAAAAAAGCTTTTTTTTTAAAGCTAAGCAAAATATAGTTATCTAGCTTTTAGATTTGAGTTCAATAGATAATCCACCAGAATCTACTTAGGCTTAAAATAGAAATGGTATTAAAACAAACTGATTTCAAGCAAATTTAAAAAAAAACTTGTAATAATAAAATCTCGCAAATCTATACAACACAAACCCTATACTTAAAACATATCCAATATTTAACAAAGTAACACAATAGTAACATGCCATTCACAAAATTCAAAGTATTATTTTTTATATTTCAAACAAGTCTACTTTTAAAGAATGTTTTGTCATACTTTTGTAAAAAGCACATAGTGACAACACATATATTTATATAAATATTCACATCAACTTATTTTTATATACATGAACAATATTGTCAATTTACAATTTAATTATGTATATTTTTCACTATGACAATAACACTTTGCTCAACAATCAATATACAAAACTTTGTTTTAAAATATAAACACCTGATGTTCACAGTAAGCCAGAAATATAAAGCTATACATACTTAGCCATCAATTTCTTGTTTTTGTTTTCTTTCTCTAATTAGCAAAGAATTAGTCCAGGAAAAAACCCACCTCTGCAATTCAATTCTTTCAAAAATAAACATCTTTGAGTAGTTCATGTTTGTCAGGCAAAAGTGGTCATTCACAACATAGTAATTATGATTTATTTTATTGATATGGTTTTTGATAAGAGATATCCTGAAAGAGACAAAATAAAGCTTGAACCAACAGAGAGACAATGAGGCTGCTTAGTCTAATGAAAGTCATGGCATATGGACACTGCAAGAAAGGTGAAGATGAACAAGACTAGTGTGTTACAGAGATGGACTAGTATAACACATAGATGATCTTAATGTTGACAGCTGGACCAATCTCATTTTACTAACTCTATAGCACATTGGATTAGACACTGGAAATGACTCAGTAAACAAGTCCATAAGGAATCAACATAAAGACTTCTGCTGCCTAAACAGAAGAAATAAAAAGAATGAGGAAGGTAGTCTTGTGCATTATGTTCTGAAGCTACTACTTTACAATACCTCTATATACCTCTACTTTTAGCAACTGATGCCTTATTTCTTGACTCTATGGTAAAAGACTTGAGCTAAAACCTGCTTATATTATTAAGGAAATGACTGTAGACTACACATGAATATTTAGATAAATTGCTGCCATTTGCCGTTTCATGCAAGGAGTAAGCTTTTAATAACCAAAAGTAAATGTTTTAATTTAGAAAGTAATCAAAATTAGTAAAACCTAATTTTAAAATACCAGATTTATAGGCAGAATTAAATACTTTATAGAACTCAACCCATAGAAAATTAACTTCTCCAAACCTTTTAGACTAGAGCTAAACACTCATTCAACGTGAGTCTCCGAATAACACTAATCTATTAATTATTTCAAAGATAACTTTCTGATGGCTAAAGAACAATTTGTGAGGAATGAACAAATCTCAGCTGGGCTTAAAATGACAACATAACCCTGAAACGCCTATAGAGATTAACAGACAATGGATATTCTAAACAAGGCTGATCAAAAATGTAATTAAACAACCCATTCCTTAACCTGAGACCAATCTCAATCCAAATGAAAACAGCTGAATATGGTCTGACTGGACCCTCCCACCAGTGTATAAGCAAGCTAATAATTGTGGGAAAATGGCTTGTTAAGTTCAAGTGACTTATTACACTGGTACAGCTTAGTATTCCAATGCCCTTCAATTTTTCAGATCATTGCTGAATGCAAGAAAAGCTTAAATGGTAACATTAATATGGCCTTTGAAACAGACATGTACACAATAAAGGGCAATGGAAAACAAGAAAAAGCTTGATAAAATCAACTAGCAATAAGTGCTCATGTTGAGTTGCCCTTTACTTGATATCACAGGGGCACTGGTTCTACAGCTGTAAGGAGGTGCAACATGAGATTAGATCAAGGGACCAGCCCTCTCCCTTCACAACAGTGGGTAGAAGCTTTTCCTCATGTTATATTTTAGTCCTTAGAACACTACAGCTTATTATTTTCTCAAGTCCAGAACCACAACCTGAAAGTAAAATACATTTTGATTAAACCATCCAGAAAACAACTATTTTTAACATTGAAACTAACTTAATTTGAAGAACAGATAATATTTTCACACAAATTTTAAATACTAATAAGGAAAATCTTAACTTAGTCTAACAATTGTAGGACTAAGATATTTTGTGGAACTGAAAGCTTGAATTAGAAAAATGAAAACAATGTCATTTACCGATCCATCAGATGCACTGGCCCCAACTTTATCTCCCCTGTGATTCCAACACACTTCAAATATCCCACCTGTTCCTCTATAGCTATGAACTAAAGATCCAGTCTGCGAGGGAAAAACGATAACATTTTAATTATAACATATAATTTGAATGTTATGCTTTTTCTTCTTATGGAAGTGGTTGCTAAAAAGGCGGGAAATGCAAAATCATGCTGGATGTAAGAAGTGTATGTCTCCTTAAAGGTTTACAAAGGAAGCAATCTTATTTTTTAAGTTTATCATACAAAAACCATTTTTAAGCCCAACAAAGCTAGAGAAAGGACTAATTTGGATTTTAATTTTAAATTGTTTAGCATATAATATGACAAACTAAACATTTGATACAGTAACATGCACTATACCACATCTGTTTAATACCTGGACATTCCATATATGTACACATTTATCAAATGAACCACTGGCAATATATTTGCCATCTGGGCTAAACGCAACACTGTAGACAGGTTCAGTGTGTTTTGTCAGTGTGTGCAAACAACGTCCATGATCCACTTCCCACAGTCTAACAGTTGAGTCAAATGATGCACTAAATAAGTAAAGAAAATTTTTGTTAAAGTATTTTATTTTACTGTTTATAAAGGATTATTTCTGTTAAAAGCTATAGCTATAATGTAAAAACTCACCTGGCTAAAATAAGATTCTGATTTGGGTTGTTTGTGCCTACCCCAGTTGGGCTCCATTTAATGGTATATATTTCCTTACTGTGGGCTTGTAAGTCATGAACCCACTGGTCATTTTTCATACTCCAAATCTGGATTTGTTTGCAAACAGAAAATTTTATAGCTGGAAGCTAAACGTTTGCTAAATAACATGTAAAAAAAGCTTCTAAATTAATTCCTTTGAATAGTAATTGACTTGATGCTCATTTAAGACATTTAAAGTATGGGATTACTAACCTTTAAAGTCATGTCATCCGAACATGATGCCAACAGCTGCCCTTGTGGGTCCCATTTAATGGCATTTACTTCATTCTGAGGATAAGTAATGTTGATAAATGAAACAGCTGTCTATTATCTCATTAATAGAAAATAGTTAGCAAATGAAAACAAAAGTAAAAAATTGCTGAATCAGACTTGTAATACGGTATTACATCAACCTTTTTGTCAGTACGGCTACCATGTTCTCATCACTTCAGCAAATGCAGTGGAATTCATTTTAATTAAACACATAAACGCTTAGAATAAAAAATGGGTAAATACTATGTGATAATGCTGTCTTGATTAAATATACTATAAATTTTATAAGCATTGTAAAACACAGATTCATTTAATAGTGAGTATTTTGGTCTAAATTGTCAAATGATTTCCACAATATATATATATATATATATATATATATATATATATATATATATATATATATATATATATATATATATATATATATATATATATATATATATATATATATAATTTTTTTTTTTTTTTTTTTTTAAATAATGCAGATAAAATTGATGATTTTGCCACAAAATTTTAATATTAAATTGTACCTAGAAGCTCTTAAAAATGTCTTACTGTGTGTCCCTGGAATGTTTTGACTGGTCTTAAATCCCCTAGTCTACAAACATGAATACATTGGTCTGTTGAACAGGAGGCAAATGTTGTGTTACTCTGCCAGTCCACATCTAATGCTGGTGCTGTTAACAAATCAACATCCATTAGGTTAATCACTAATATAGCCCCCAGACCAAGAAGTAAAAAGCATATCGTTTGAACAAGATAAATTTAGAATTCGTCTAAAAATAAATTACAGAAAAAATAAACTGAAATAGATAAACCGGTTTAAAACAGACCTGAGTGAAAAGCAAACTGTTGTGTACAACTTCCTGTGTTAGCATCCCATATTATTGTGGTCTAAAAACAGACAATTAATATATTACAATTACAATGCATTTACTATGCCATAGAACACTTTAACATTGTTAAAAGTAGTTAAAAGATCAGAGTGGTAACAGCCATCTTCCTATACCTCTGTGGGAAGACAAATTAATGTTGTTGTGAAGTTGTAGCTTTAATTATTAGTTCGCTGTACATCCACATGACATGATAGTAATTCCCCACCCCTCTAGTACACTAATCATATCCTTACTGTTCTGTTAGCTTATCCTTTACAGTATGAGAATTGGAATAACAAAATTTTATTTTAATATCAATGCCTACTTTTAGCTTTATTATTACTTTTATAATACAGCTTGGGAGCTGAGAAAAACTATGGATAAACATTATTTAACTATATGTAACAATGAAGAGAAAAACTGAATTAAAAGTAAAATTTGTATGTCCTAAATCAAGGACAGCTGAATCAGACATTAAATAAGGTATAACTTCAGCCTATTAGTCAGTACGGCTACCATGTTGTCATCATATCAGCCAATAACATTTTTAAATTTATATAAGACATTTAAATAACAATAGAATTTCAATTTTTTTCCCATGTCTCAAATTGTTTTATAAGCAATGCCATTTCTATAAGTTTGATATATGTAAATTTTAAAACTGAAACAAACCTTATCCACTCCTGCACTTAAAATATAGTTTCCTCTTTTGTTCCACTTGAGTGCAAATATTGGTCCTTTGTGTTGACCCAGGGTGTTGACTAATCGACCTGAAGTTAAAGATATTTACTTAATGACATGTTGTATAGGTTAGTTAGCTCTATTTAATGTTTTATTTATTATTTATCATACCATCTATGCTCCATATCCTGGCAAAGCCATCATATGACCCTGTGGCAAGTAATGTTCCATCACACTGAAAAATTTAGCAACAATAAATTACCGATCACATGGAAATATAATTATTTGGATGCTTAAAACCAGACTTGGAATATATTATATGCTGATTCAGACCATAACAAGGTATATCTTCAATCCTTTTGTCAGTACGGCTACCATGTTGTCATCATTTCAGCAAAAACATCCCACCAAGTAAACATATTACCTTGTTATCTCTATATATTAATTTTTACAAAGTTCAAAATTATTCTTTAACATTTTTTATATAAAATATAACTTTTATGAAGATTAAATAAATAACTGAAAAACAATTATAACTCTATTTAACAGTTTTTACCATCCAGTCCAATGAAGTCACATCTTTATTACTTGGGACCTCAGTTCCTCCTTTTTGTATACAATGTCTTAAAACTAACTGGCTGGCACTTGTGCTACTATTGTTGTCATTCATGTTCCATATTCTTGCTGTAGAGTCACCAGAACTATATAGACAGTAAAATAAAGTTTAGTACTATTAAACTTCCATCATGATTTTTAAGAAGGTATGCCTACTTTTAAGACAATTAATAAAAACAGTAGTATATTTAAAAGTAAGTAATATGTCCAGTAGCGTAGCGAGGGGGGGGGGACATATGTCCCCGGGCGCCGACCTTAGGGGGGGCGCCAAATTGAAAGTTTGAGGGGGGGGGGGGGGGTTATAACTGAGTCTCATCATCACCATCAATACTAACCATACTGATGACTTCGTTTCATAACATTTGGTGGAGCAGCGGGGTAGATACCCACTAGTGGTGGGACGAGGGGGGGGGGGGGGGGGGTTGTACTCAGTTATAACAGGGGGGGTGCAAATGAAAAGTTCGAGGGGGGGGGGGGTGCAAATCGAAAGTTTGAGGGGGGGGGGGGGCAGTGCAAATGAAAAGTTTGAGGGGGGGGGTGCAAATCGAAAATTTGCTCCCAAGGAGGCGCCAAATTGAAAGTATGTCCCCGGGCGCCGGGAAGGGTCGCTACGCCTCTGAATATGTCTTTCTGACATCTTCCATTAGCCCAAGAACATAACATACTGAAAACAAAAACTTGTCAACAATATACAGATTTACTAACCCAGAAGCAAGAAGATCGTTTGTTGGATTCCATGCACAAATGAAAACTTCAGATTCATGGCCTCGGAGGACAGTGGCTTTATTACTTGGTATATCCACAGTGCCATCAACTTCCATGGACTCTGTGTGGTTATCTTAAAAGAAAAAAGTGACAAAAAATGTTGATTTTTAAAATGGTTGACATTGGAGATGGACAATTTAATAATTGTATGAGAAAAAATCTATAACGGCAACATGTTCAGAGAGCTGAAAGAGAGAAACTTTTATATAGGACTTTTCTTTAAAAAATCTCAGCAGCAAGGCCTTTTTTTAATAGCTACAAGAACGAACGCTGTGATTACTAGATGTCTCAAACTTAAAAGATGGATATTTCTAATTCAGATAATCAAAGGACATACTCAAATTTTAAAACTCATTTCTTAGGGATCAAAGAGTTCACAAAAATCATCAAAATTTCAAAGGATCATACATTATTCTATTTTATTAAGTTTTATATAAGATGTGCTGGAAATGAAAAGATAAAAAAAAATAAGTGGAAGATTACTTTGAAAATTGTCATTTATGGATTTTTAACATGTAGTTTCTAAGATTCCATCTATTTTTTTATGTGTTGGAGGAAATCACATCCAACATACAATTTTTATTTAGATGTTAAAAAAAAACATTTCAGGCTAAATTTACAAATGTTGAGATAAAATTCAACATACAATTTGCATGTACAGAAATCATTGGTTCCAACTTAAAAGAAAACATTTGATTCCATGATTATACACTACCCAAGACTCTACCTATTTAACAATAATGAATGTTTCATTTCTGAGCATAAAATAGAATTGATTTTTAGGATTTTGAATTGTACACATGCTGTGCATTATTCAAAAACACAACCCTGTAGTTTAATTGTTTAAAATAAAACTACTCACTATCCATTTTTTCCCAGACTATTAAAAAAAAGATATGAAAATTGTTTTAAAGTTTATAAACTGGTTTAAGAAAATTTTTTGGATCTTGACTTAAAGTCAGTTATAAATGTCAGCTGATAAATGTAAACAGTTTCTGTTTACTACAGTTTCAAATAGTCACCTAAAAGATCATTAGACACCCCTGATTGTAGTTCAAGAAAAATGGTTTTTTTTATCGGTGTAGTTCTGGTGACTCTACAGCATGAATATTAGCTAAGGATTGATGTGTATAGTCGGTATAGGATAGTTACTGGTTAAGTCATCATTACAGTATCAGTTCTTAACCCAGACATGCTGCTCTAACATTGATAAGAGGTTAAGCAGCTGAATACACCTAATGCTCTAGCCACAGAATTTGACAGACAAAACTTAGAAGTCTGGTTGCAAAAGAGAGCTCCACCTACTTTAAAAGAATGATTTGTTGGACAGTTTAGTGTTTATGAATCAGATTTGTCACATTGAATAAGATATAATGTTACTCATCATGGCAGTTCCTGATCATTCAAGATTAAATAAAATGGGGAATCAGCACATACTTCAGAAAGGAAATGAATAGCAGTTTTAAAATATATTTGTATAACACAGCAAATAAACCGGGAGTGATCTCCCCTAAACTTTCTCGAATATTCTTATATATTATATAACACTTGGGGGATGGTAACTCTGGATATAGACAATATTTTTAATCCGTTTTTAATTACTTAAACTTTTAAAATAGAATAGAACAGAATCTCGTAGAAAAAAGAATTGCACACCATGCGTTTTTTGCAAAATCGGAAATAGCGTAAATTACTACTTCCGGTCAACGGAAATTACTCAAAATTTGATAGAAGGCAGAGAATTATATCTTTTACTTATATGTGAACTTTCATTTATCTATCTGAAATAGTACTCAAGTTATAGGCTTTTGAGAAATTGAAAGTAGAAAGTTTCACTTCCAGTTATCGGAAATCACTGAAAAGTTGATACGGATCTACAAATTTGATATAATACTTATATATGAAATCAACCTAGCTGTAACGGTACTCAAGTTATCATGTTTACAGACATACATGCATACACACAGACAGACATACAGACAAGATTGCAAAATTATGTTTTTCCGATACAGGCAGGTGTAAAACGTGCAAATCTCGATTATTATTTTTTGCATGATTACAATACTTTCTCTATACTCTGTATATACGAGAAAGTAAAAAGGTCATAATGGGGAATTTTCATACATTCATTTTCAGCTATTCTTTTCTGTCTCTTAAATCAACATATTAAATATCAGTAAAAACAATCAGCACATTCAAAACAAAAATTTGTACTCTTCCTTTTTAACCATGTTTTCTGTTTGTTATTATCCACAACTCTTAAATAAAACATCTGTAGTGCTTTTATTTCACAAGTATTAATACCATAACACTGACACTAGCAGCAGATATGCTTTTCAGAACCAATGATTTAAAATGTAAAACTAACTATTGCATACAGAAAAGCATGATGCAATTAATCAAAGTGAGTTATGCAAACAAATACAAAATTTGATTTGCAGCAACTAGGGTTGTGACCAAAAACATAACCATGGTCCCTAATTTAATTATAAAGGAAAGATCATCTTTGAATTATTTCTTTGTGTAGAAATATTTTATAAAATAACCAGGAACATTTGGAGCTTTGCAAAAACTTTAACAGAATTTTTTTTATAATTTAAAAGAGAAACAGGATTTTATAAAAAAAATCTCGTTGCTAAATCATATGGGAAAATTTTTATTTCTTAAGCCTGACTCCGCGGTAGTACGATGGTTGGGTATTCATTGTCGGCAATACTGATTTTGACAGCTCAAATAAATAGCCTAAACAGTTTCTGTTAAAAATACCGAATAGCCCTTAGAATATAGTCCTGGAGCGAGCAGTCATAACGCCATCTAGGTTATTTCCATTATTACGCAAGCTTTCTCCAATTACTTATAAATGTAGACCTGCAGGCTTCTCTTTCTATCCAGCTATTTAAAAAAGGGATCGGAAATTACCCCGCACCTCCCCTATTTCCCGTTATCGCCCACTCGTCTGTCACCGCCCCGCCTCTTCTCCCCCTCAACCCTCCCAACCCCTTTCCTGCCCCCTCACATCCCGAACTCGTGTGATTTATACGATTGCTCTTCAAGGATGAATTTTTTTTTTTAAATCTAGATTCTAGGTCGATACAGAAAAAGAAAGCTGAAACCGTGTTGAGATGGTTCAGGGTATGAAGACAGAGCGGGAAATAAACTGGATGGACAGAGTGTTCTGATCATTCGCCAAACTGAAGTTGGCACTAATAAAACTTGCGCAGATTTTTATGCAACCACTGGATCTACAACCACATAACATTAACAGCACCAATATTTTTTTTTCTTGTTTAGCCTGCTGTCGGGCTGAAACGAGCCCACTACGATAAAATTATCATAAAATGTACCGGAATGTCGTGTTGGTCAGAATTAATTTTATCTACATAGAGGTGGCTATTTTTTTTTTTTTTTTTGCAAACGTTATTTCTTTTTAGGAGGCACGTCAGTTTTATATTTAAAAATAAGGATGAAAAAGAATGGCAATAAGAGTTGACAAAATTTTAAACTTTTATAAAAGTGCTTTTCTATTTATTTTAACATTTTTACCGTAATGCCCCAAACGGACTATCTATCTAAAATTAGCAAAGTGTAAGAAATTAGAAAGCATTTATATAAAGAACCCCTTTTTTATTGGTCCGATGTAACATTTTTAAACACTAAGACAACAGTCATAGGATTTACAAACAGCGATAAGACACTCTTAAAAAGCATTTGCCTCCAGCAAACAAGCCTAAAACTAGCAATTTATTTTTTCCCTCTCCTGCTTGGAAGACAAAGATATGGCTGTCATCTATGTAGCCATTGATCTACATAAAGTGTCATTAAGCATTGCACGGTTATAAGACTAGGTTAAACATGGCAGTAAATGCAGATGTGGGCTGTTGTCTGGTTGGGGCAAACTTGTAGGTTTTAACCATAATTAAACCATAAAATTTTTGTTTTGAAAATAAGAGGAGGGGGGGGAGAAATAATTGATATTGAAAATTTAAAAATAACTTGTTTGCATTTGTGATTGCATATTTATTTTTTTACATTTTGTAGACAAGGTATAAAGATTATTTTATACAAATCAAGGCAGAGACTGTATTAAACTGATTTTAATGCAAAGTTAGTATGTCCAGTTGGCTAAGAGTAGGCCTACTTATTATGATAATGTTTTGAAAATATTTTCATTATGCAACTACATTTATTAGATTTTAACACTTAAGTTGCTTTGATAAAGAAGGAAATTATTATATAACAAGGCATCTTTCAAATATGTAAACAAATAAATCCTAGCCAGACAACCAGACAATCTAAGAATTCCAGTTTGTCACTCAACAAAAATATACATTAAAAAAATTCTATCATTCTGCTATTCTTTCAAAAATGTAAAGTAAGAAAAATTCTAATGCTGCAATAATATTCTTTTTTAAATCCTAAAATTTTAATGTTTTGTTTATGTTTTGTTTCACAGTAAAAAAGACATCTGTATTTTTTTATTCCCCAGACCCCCCCCCCCCCCCCACCTCAAACTTCAAATAAGCAGATAAGATGTAAGAAATGTGTGGTGTTCTGCAATGGCTATGGCTGAATATTTCAACATCATTTATAAAGCATATTAGTTTGCTCATTTTAAAAATCTTTAAAGACAATAATGCCAATATTTTAAAAAATCACAACCATGAATGCACATTTGAATAAATTATCAGAAATATCTTAAATCCCAAAATCAATATCCCATATTTTTAACTCAAGCACAGAACAACTGAAATTTTGCTGTAGCTGGTCAAATATATTGATTTCTGTAACACCTAATAGATTAAGTTGTATATGATGATACAAATAGTTATAAACAGGTGAAGTAAAAATGTGACTTACCAACAGCATGGGTGCCATCATCTCCATTAGTGTTGTTTGTGTCTGTTTTCACTGGGTTACTCTTTGTATTAGCCTGTTTTCTGGATTCAACAACATCTGGCATCACAGCATCTATTAAAGAGAGGGATTCCATCGGTCGCTCTGATCCATCCTGGTCAAAAGGAAAGCAATGATAAATGTTATCTTATTAAACAGAGATAATGTACTAAATGAAGATCATTCATTTGTGCTAGTACTGTTATTTTAGGGGTTTTCAGTGACAAGGTAGAAATACTTACCAAAAGTGTAACATTCTATCAAGTACCATAAATTAAAATTTGACATTTTATTTAAATGCAAGTTAATTTTTTTTAATGAGGATGTATTTTTAATGAAGAAGTATGCTGTTACACAAAAGAATACAAAGACCAAAGTTCTGTAGAAGTGAGCATTTTAAAGAGCTGGAAACATGAACAAAGAATAAAAACAGAGGTTCAATATAATAACAAACAGAAGATAAAAAATAATGTTCATAGAGTACAAAGTTTCATCACTGTGGACATAGTCACAAGTGTTTGCAACAAAAACATAACTAAATCTAGTACCCAGTAAAGCATACATAACAGTGCAACAGTATGAAGTTTTTGTAGGATGTCAAGGTATATGGTGGTTAACCACTACTTACAATATTATTGTAGTGTAGTTATAACTGACCCATTCAATAGTGTGCAGAATAAGTAAACGAAAATAAATTCCAACAGAGAATCTTAACATGGTGTCATACACATACAATGTTACATTCCCGTAGAAGCTTCTGGTGTTTGGTGATGTGTCGGGGGGGGGGGGGGGGGGGAGTAGTATTTTGTGACAATCTTCTGATGATGGGAATGTAAAATATTTTTTAAAAGCGTTGCTTCATTTATGGATAATCCAATGTAAAACGAACTCCAACTTGCATCTAAATTAAAGTCGTCAGGCAAGATGTAATTTAAAAATTATTTACTATTTATATAATAATGAAGAATGAACTATAGAATTTATATGTGCAAGATAGAGTTGCAAATATTTTTGGTTTTCCACTAAGAGACCTGCAAAAGCTTATTTTAAAATAAATGTCACTGTATGTTAAACCCGAAGCTCAATGCGTTGACATCATACCTAAAACACACACGCAAAGTAGTTGCGCAGAAATCAGGCATTAAAACAAGTATAAAATACAACATGGTGGTGAGGTGCGAACTAGTGACCTTTCAGAGCGACGGGAATTCTTCCTTGTTCGTGACCAAGTAGGAAACACTGGGAAAGGGGGGGGGGGGGGATAGAGAGAGAGAGAGAGATTTATAGCAACTAAAGGAAAAAACATTGTGCAACAGTTTAAAGAAGTCTTTGTAAAAACAAATGCAAAGTGTTATGCCATTCAATAATAACGACGCTTTTCAAAAATATTCCTTCTTACGTTCTGTTATTATTACCTATAAAGCAAGCGGGTGGGTATAATTAGAAGGCCAGCATTATTGATCCAGTTAGACAGCGTGCTGTAACAGCGTGCAAAGAAAAGTAAGCGAAGAGGAGAAATCACTACCGGTTGCTAAAGCAAGCGACAAAAAAAAACATTTTTAGCCAGTTCATAAATATAGGAATCGTGAACGGTGGGTGTATAGGGGTGGGGAAGAACGTTTATATAGCTAATTCCCGGCAAAGAGGGGGTGTCCATTTTTAAATCTTATTTAATAGCTTTTATTTCACCCTTATAGCTGTTTTCTTTTTTATTCCAGCCCTGCAGTCGGTGGAACAAAGAGCCGAGCGAAAGAAAATGTGAGAGCTGGCGAGAGAGAAAAATGGAGGCCACATCAATAAAGTAAGGGTAAAGGAGGGCTGCAACTTGTACTCAACTGCGTTCCACGCGAGGCTGAGTCAGCAAGGTCAAAGGCCATGGGCTGATTTTCCCATCCTACTGCTTATAGTCTGTTTCATTCACCGTTCTGAATCTAGGCCTCGTCTCGAGAAATGGCGGCAGTCAATGTGGCCTACCGGGTTTGCAAAGATAAATAAAAATCGCTCGATCCGAAACGTCACGCAGTAAGTGGAAGATATTAATGTTTGTAGCGCGCGCCGTGAAACCACTAAGAGAGAAGGAGGGAGGGCAGGCTAGAGTTTTATTATTAGCCGAGCATTGCTGTGGCGACCTAGATTTAATTTGTTAGTCCCATTCTTAAACAAGTTATACCACATCCCGTTCACTGAAAACAAACGTGCTTTGTGCTGTAGTAGCGTAGCTAAGGTACAGGATTCACCGTACTCAGAAAACCAAAGGAAATGCACAAAACATGCGAAAGGAATATGTAAAAGAGGTTTTACAAGATAAGATTTCAGGATGTTGTTTTACATAGAGGGGAAATGCGGTTTTTTAACAGACAGGTCGAGTTAACAGTCATAAGTTTAAAATGGCAATGACAGATTTATACACTATGGCAATGGTCTTGGCAAAACAAAATAAAAAGAGGGAGAGCTAAAAATAAACGCTTTTAGTGAGAGCGTGTCTATGCTTGGCAGATAAACAAAAACGAGTGGAGTTTTTTGGTCTTAAAAATTCTTAATAGCATTAAATAGATCTTATAAATTATGTTTTGAAAAAAAAAAGAAAAAAAATGATGTGGATTTGTGAGGTAGCCCTGTTTCGATTTGAAAAGTTTATTGTGTGTGTGTGTACTGTATAGGCCTACAAGTGTGACACGGTGTGTAAAATAAATGGAGGGAAGATACATTAAATTAGTTAAGAGGAAACGAAGGTTACAACATTGTTACTAGTCTACATTACTAGTCTAGCTATTTTTCATCAAGTTTCCGGTAGCGTATACCATGTTTTTATGTCAACATCTAGCCTTCTCTTAATAAAAAAAAACATTGCGTTGGTGACGTGTTACTAAAATGTTTTGCTCGATGATGTGTTATTGTAGTATTATAACTAGTCTAGTGCCCTTTAAAAATTGTGGATAGGAATGTTAGAATTTGCTCAGTGTTTCTATCAGACTTTATTCTCCGCAGGGGGGGGGGGGGAGGGGGGGGGTGAATAGTTGCCTGGAAGAAACTCTGAATTTACTAGTACTAGGATGCTTGAGTTAAGTATCAAATTCATTTATTACTTAAAGCTAAAGGCAGTAAAAAGATAAATAAGAGATAGAAATATAACAATTTTAACAGCTCCATTTAGTTGGCAAACAAAAAAAAGGATAAACTCATTGTAAATAAATAGTCTAGATCTAGTAACAAATACTTATAAAAACCTTGTGTGCTGCAGAAATCAAAATAATTAAAAATTTAATAAAATCACAACAGCAGAGCAAAAATACATTTCTAAAAACAGTACCAAAAAAAAATTAGTAATAATATAGTATGCTTAAAAATGCCTTTTAAAAAAAAAAATACACAAATTAGTCTAATGGAAAAAAAATTAAAGTGTGAGATAAAGCACAATTTTACCCAACTAGCATTCAGTAACATGTCATGACTATTATTTGTCTTCTTGCATTATAAGCTAATAATGAAGGAAAAAGTAAAATTATTCTGACTTGACAGTCAACAGAGCAGATGAAAAATTATTAGAGCCCATCTGTTTCTGTGACTTTGGCACATGAGGAGACAGTGTGGTTAGGACTATTCCCAGCCATTTTTTCTGCTCCCTAACATAAATTACAAAGTTACATAAGCATCATAGTGGGGTAAACTCAGTAACTGAACTTGACTAGAGGGATTAGGGCCCTGGATGAATGAAGTATGGTGTCCTCCATTTATGACATCTAAGGCTGTGAGTGAGGAAGGGTTCTGAGAAAAGTCAACTATTATGAATATGTGTAAACTGGAGATATGAGCCCTTGTGGATGTCTACATGCTAAAATTAAATAACACCTTACTTATAGACAAAGGGCATGGCGTGGTGGGGCAGGAGAGCATATGATTGCTTACTCCAACTGGTTTGGACCCCCGGGCAGATAAGGGTTGATTAAGTTGTTAGCTGGGAACAGCAACCCATCTAGGAGTGAAAACACAGCTATCTTGCAGATTGTTCTTGGATGGACCAAGGTTATGGAAGCAGATCCAGTAAAAAAAAAAAAGCTGAAGCCTGAGTCAACTAGTCATTTGTGGTGCATAAAAGGTTGACACATAATTGCGTCCCCTCCAATATTACAATTAAGAATTAAGAAGAAGGAAACTGTTATGAACACTTGGGGGTTGCAAATGTAAACTCTAGGCATACATAATAAAGGAGTTTTTGTTACTGTAAGAAATTACAAACTACTTTACTTTACATTGTAAAGTGTAATTTTTTTTTTTAAATACTATATAGGTCAAGTTGATTTTAACACAGTAGACATTTTTAAAGTTTAAAAGTATTATTTTTAACCACTAATAAAAAACCATTAACAGAAAAATTATTTTAATTGTAGGCAAGCAAACATTGGTTAAGAATGTAAAAAATAAAACACAAACCAACCTCTCCAATGCTGATTTCAGACTCTGTGTACTGTAATCCTTTTTGTATTATGCTTAAAAGAGCTGCTGGTGGGACAAGAGCCCCATTTATGTTGGATTGACTAATGTGACTTTCAATTCCAAATGTGTATGCAGAATGGAGGAAGCCTGCAAACAAAGTTTTCATTTACATCAAACACATGTTATAAATAGAAGACTGTCACATAATGATTACAAAGATAAGAATAAAATTGTTCAATCACAAGGGTTAACAGGGTCACGTCAGTAAAGCTCATGGTTGCTAAACTGTAAAGTACTGAGTTTAAACCCCAGGCAGGCTCAATAGCTGGGGATAGCAACCCATCAAAATTCCAAAATCAAACAACTGCTGCATTGTAGTTTGCTCAAGAAAGAAAAAGCAGGCTGAAATCAGGGGAGTTGACAATTAATTTGCCAACTATTTGTGTCAGAGGAAATCGCCACATAACAATTAAGAAGGAAGAAGACGTTCAATTATCTAAAAAGAGATGCTGTTGAAATACAATAGGCTTAATATTATGAAAATACATAAAGAATCAATTATGAAAAATAAAACTATTCAACTAAATTTATCAGGGATGAAGAAATCTTTTGCTGTAGCACCTAATAGTTGAATATCATTTTTAAAATACTAAATGTAAATCAGATTACATTCTAAGACAACCAGCCTTAAGAATTAAGATAGACATTTTAAATGTTAGATAATAAACCACACAAGAATACTTGTGTTAAAACAGAAAAGGGTTACCTGATTCCTGTAAGTAACGATAAACAAGGAAGTTAACCTCGTCACTGCTAAAGCTCATTTTGGCTCAGTCAGTTAGGGTAAAGTGTGTACCTAACATCAGGTCCAGATGTGTGGCACAGTAGATTAATGTCTGCAAAAGCATTTAGAGAATTGTTTAATACAGAATAAAAGCAAAAAGAATTGATTTAACATGCAGAACTAAACAATAAAAACTGGTTGCTAATCTAACATCAGATCAGTTACATACCAAATTACATTTGACTTTATCGGTTTTCAGATAAATTAATATTGCTTCTGAATTTGTTATTACTGCATAACTTATGTAAAACAAATAGTTGTAGCAAAGCGCTCATGATATTCCCAGATTTCAGAAGAAAAGGAACAGTAATGATTATATGATGAGAAGCTTTTGGACAAAGTCTATTTGTTCTTTAAATGTAGACTCATATCTACTATTACAATCAATTTAGCATTAGTGGCTTAAATGTTTGTGAATAGAAATAAAGACTAGTAATTTTTTTTTAAACTTGTAAACTATAAGCATGAAATTAATTAAAAAGATCTATGGTATTAAGAATTTTTTTTTAATTTAAGGTTTTAACTTTTTTAAAATTGAATTCCACAGACATAATTATACACTTAGTTAACGTGAGATATCATTGAGATTAACACACATTATTAGACTATTTTGTATTTATTTCAATATAACAAAGCCATTTAGTAGCACTAGTCACAGTCCTTGTAATGAGATAACAGATATGCTGGACAGGATCACAGCCCATCACTCATCATGGCACTGATTCACCTTGCCAACTGTTCAGAAGTATAAGCACTGTTACTGATTGTCTACAGCCATTAATTACACTGAGATGTTGGCATGCAGAACCTCTGACCCTATAAGGCACAAACTGACCACTGGCTTTAAACACACAACAATGGACATTTTTTGTGCATATAATAAGTGACACACACAAATATGGATGATACAGACAAATAGGAGCTACTTTGATGGATATACAGGAAGATGGTTTGGAAGCAGGCACGAGAGTTATTACAGAACCACTTAGCATAATACTACTTGTGGTATGATCTAATTAACACTTAGTTTGGCACCAACCACATTATTCCCACCATATCTACACTGCTCCCATCACTTATTTCAGAACCCACAGAATATAGTGCACTTACAAATTCAATGTTACTTATTTGTCAATGTCGCTAAATGACCATAACAGACTTAATTCACAGAAATGTAACATTCAATAGTATGAGATCGCAAGCATTTTCTAGAAACTTTTAGTATGTTATAAATAACATTCATTAGGCCCTATTTCATTTTTAAAAAGCTTCAGGTCCCCTGTCATCGTCCGACCCCCCCCCCCCCCGCCCCCCCACAACCAGGCCACCAAAAATTAGATAGTGTTTTGGAACCTGTTTTTTAATTTATAAATAGCAAAGTAGAGCAATCTTTTTGGGACAGCAGGGTAAAAGTGGCTAACAAGGTGGCAAGTATGCAGACAAATATCGAGCATCAATATTCCATAGTAAATATAATATAAACTGTTTTAAACTGAAATAAAACAAATGCCTTTAGGTCTCCTCCATTTGAGTGAAAATCTTATTGGTCTATGTACAGGGTACTGTAAAGAAAAATGCACATGAAAAGGTTTACAATGAGCTTGATCAATAAAATCAATTAACATTGAACCATTCAGTATCAGTTTCATTATCAGTCCCTCACAATAAAAATAAAAGAAAGCTATCTAACATGCCATTGTCAGCACAAGTATAAACATGAAGAGGTTAGGGGCAGAGTTTCTTTCAGGCATCTATTGAGGGAGGGTCCATCTAAAATTACCGCCTATTTGAACAAAATTCTCAGCAGTGCCCCCCCCCCCCCCCCCCCGCGGAAAAAATACATTGGTTAGTGGTTAAACTAAATATTTCAAGAAGAAAGGGCCAACAATATGAAAGACCAAACAAGTTTGGTTATAAAATTGGATTTGACTTATTTTTTATTCCAGCTATTTTAATTTTTGCCATACCATCGATAGTGTCGCCCCTTAGGCCTAGCTTTCATAAAAGTAGTCTACACACTAAATTCCGATTACCAATAGTATATCTCATTTTCAAGAAGAACGTGTAGGTCTAGATCTAGATCTAGAAGTCTAGATATAAATCTAGTTAGTGATTACAAGATCTAGATCTAGAGATCTAGATCTAGTATGTTTATCAGAACTCAAAGGGGTCAACTAGGGTCAAACTGATAGTTGTAGTTTTGCTGGTTTTGGGAAAGGACCACTGAATAGATTCTTAATCTAGAATCCAGATCTAGTCTTGATTTTTAAAATCCAAAACATGGCAAATTTTTTTTCTCTCTAGAAATCTAGATCTAGATCTAGAAGAATGACAGCTGTGGACATTGGCTTTGTAGTAATGTGTTGTATGAAACTATTAATACCTACTAAATAGACCTAGAATTATAGATCTAGCCTAGATCTAGATATCTGGAACTTAAATTCTAGATCTAGATCTAGAAATCTAGATCTGTACCCATGCTATAGTCTAGATTTCTAGATCTAGAATTCTAGGTTAGCGGTTAGAGTAGAGTAGAGTGTAGAGTGTAGAGTAATCAAGAGATTGTTTCTTTTAGCTTTTTCAAATTCACGCAAGCCACTGCCTTAACCGCCAACTTTTTTTTATTAATCTCTAAAAATAAGGTTAGAGTACAGAGCCTACGATATTGTTAAAATATACAGAACTTTAATTAAAACACGAAAAAAAAATCTGCCTAAGCACTGCCAAGAACAGCCATCAGTAATCGATAGTTAAGTTGGATTTTTTTACAAGAAAACATAACCATCTTAAAACGAAATGGTATATTATTAAAACAGGCTATAGGGATATAGCTAAAATCGTATTGGTCTAATAGCTTGAAACAGACTATAAATACGAAAACCCAAACTATGGTCTGTCAATGTTGTGCAAGAAGTTGCTTTGCTATGGTCCGTTTCTGTTAATAAGCATTTGATGCTTTTGCCCACACATGTACTCATCAAACATGTTAATTTATAGGTATACACCGTGATTTTAACCATTTCAATTGCTACCACATAACAGATACATAAAAAAGATGACAGAGGCGCAAAAGTTACAAATTTTAAAGCGTTTACTTTCAACATTTTGACCTCATATCAGGCTAACAGTACGTGCTTGGCAAGGCCTTGCGACGTGAGAATTCATTTTATATCACCATGAACCAAAGTGCAAAATGTAACAGAGCAACATTTTACAACTTTATCAATAAATAATAGACTAGCTCTAGATAAGGTTTAAAAAATAAAGTAACAAAACACATGTACCAAACTATTGTTAATTGTTAAAATTGCTAAAAATAAGTACCGGTTTAACAGTTAGCCGCCAAAGTGATGGCAGCTCCAGGTCTACTTGGGGGAAAGCAATCTGAAATCCACGCAAAACTCCTATTGAAATTACCAGTCACTATACTTATATAAGACCACGGTTTAAAAAGTAATACTTTACACTTCTTAAAAAACACTTTGAACGATTCTAAAACAATAGGTCCTCAGTACGTCAACAACCAGGAATCTAGCAGAACACACTATCAATCATTGAACCAATGCCGACACCCATAAAGCCTCGCTCACAGTCTTAGCAATGACAAAGGCGGAAGCATTTGTATATTCAACAAAGCTTTTGATTCGCTTTTGAAAAAAACCAAAACTTACATTATGTATAGATCTAGAAAACATTTTGCTTAGCACAATATGTTGATATATTTATTACAATATTAATACAACCCATATTATTTACGTTTAAAAAGCACATAATAACAAAATAGTTCTTTTTACCGCGCGTAATAATATTAAGCCTCGTGTTTCCACAGGTCTACACCGACCGCATTCTATAGGTGACGTCAGATACAGGCAAAATAGGTTGTGGGTCGCCTCATTTGTAAAATTAGGTAACGTTACTATTTAATAAAATAGTGCTCTTTATCTTAATTTGAATCAAACACTGAAAACTATCAACATTTTAAAATTGAACTTTGATCTAGGATTTAAAAGGTTAATCATTATAAAATGTCAATCAAAACAAAAATATTCAAATACCCCTAGAGATTTATGAATGGAATCGCCTGTGTCCCAAGAGTTACCCTGAACTTTTTACAACTAGACTCAGTGTGATGATGAAATTACCCAAGTTGAGGTTATATACTACCTGGAAGTTGATTCTGCTGGCCAGCTGACTTAATGATGCAGGATTATAACATTTGGGAAACTGATGGCGTCGTATTTGCTTTTGTAACTTATAGAAATAACTCATTGTAGTTATTGATTAATGCATATTTTACACGAAATAATAATTTTAAAAGGGTAAAAAAAAAGCTTCTCAGACCGATACACACACAACAACAAAAAATTAAATAAAAATGGAAATTTATATAGCCTATAGTTTTTTCAATTAATCAATTGACATAAAAAATTAATTAGAATTGTAGTATCCATATGGTTTTAGTTGTTTTTTTTTTTTTTTTAATTCTGAGAGTAAGAGCCTCACGCAGCCTATTTTTAGTTTAAAGTTCGGTAACAAAAAGTGAGGTCACAAACAGAACTTGAATGAGCTTAATCATGTGACACAGAGGTAGCTAAAAATAAATATTGCTCGACTTAGGCTATAGTTCATAATTAAATATCCAATTTGGAGAGGGGGGCAGTTTAGAAAAGAGGATAGAAAGATTGAAAAAACAACATGATAATAATTATATACACTTCGCGCCGATGACCTAGATCTACATCCCATAGCCGTAGCAGCTAGATCTAGTACATACGACAATGATGATGAAATACTTTTCTTTTATGGGTACCAAAACCCCGAATCAATACAACAAAATATACAAGATCCACAATATGTAAGCAATTCACTGCGGGTTTTCCCCCCACATTTTATATATTTAGGCATACACATACAACACTAGTAAAAAAAATAATTGCTATTGGACAATCAATCTCAATAAAGTTGTCATCTAGCTGTATATATAGACCTATAAGATTCTAAAAGCTATTTGATTTAACCAACCTCATAATTAAAAACAGATTGCCCACCCCTCCCTGTAAACGACATTCTAATGATTATACAATGTACAAGCAGTAAAAAATCTTAAAATATTCTGTCCAAAATTACTTTTATCCAGTTCAAGCTGCACGAGAGTTGGGGAGAGGGTGACACTAAAGATACAATGTTGGATGGGGTAGGATGACAGCTTAGGCATAGTATACTCTCCTCTTTCTTCGGCCCTAAACTTCGGGTTTTTTTTTTATTTTAAAAAAAAAATGTTTGAGGACTGTATAGATATAGATGTTTGAAAGGGAAGAATGTTTGCTTTGATGTGTCTCGTTGTAATAACATAACTTTTCCGATTTCTTAAAATTTGTATCATTGTAATTCTCTGTAATCACAAATTTATTTTAGCTCTACTTAGAAACCCAAATTCCACCCCGCCCCCGCCCCCCTTACCCACCACGCCGAGGGGAAAAAGTCCCTTGAATCATCATTTAATTACACATTTGCATTTTCAGGTTGGATCTTTTTTTTTTTAGACGTTTTGTATTAGATCTATGTATAATTAAACCATCTTAAATGAACGAAAGTAGGCTACAAGTAAGAAAGAAATATTACTAGATCTATTGTAAATCTGTATCAGTCCTCACAAGCCCGTGATGAAAACTGTAATACTAAAGCCAGGGGCGGAACTACCATACCGCCAGACCCCGCAATGCGGGGGGGGGGGGGGGGGGCCAGGACTTTTAGGGGCCCAGTTCCGACCAAAAAACAATGCATTTTTTTTCTCAAAAATTATGTTTTCATGCATCTTGAAAGCGGTTTTGTAAAAAAAAAAACAGGTCTACTGTAGCAGAGATTGTTGCGTAGAAAAATATTTTAAAATCTACAAGAGCTATAGTTTGAAAGGTAGGTAAACATTCACACTACTTCCATGACTTACTGCCCTTCTTTAAAATAGGGATGCCCACGAAGCTCATTTAAATAGTTTTGTACTATGTATATTAAAAAGCAATTGATTCTCTGAATTGTTACTGAAATAAGACGTACTATACAATAGTATAGCTATAAAAATCAATGTTTTCAAAATTGATATTATAAAAGCCAAAAAGGAAAAAAATAAACATAACGCGAGAAACCATTCACGAATCAAGCTAACGTCTTTATATATTTTTGACCAGCATTTGCTATACAATTTACGCTAATCAGAATGAATTTGGACTAAATGTTTATCTGTTTTGTTCTCTCAGAATGGTTATATATTGCAATGAAGTAGACTAAATTACTCAGTTAGGATATAGATCATATATATATATATATATATATATATATATATATATATATATATATATATATATATATATATATATATACAGGGGGCCCTAGATTTTTCTTTGCGGGGGAGCCCTTGATTTCTAGTTCCGCCACTGACTAAAGCCAACACACACAACAAAAAAAAAAAAAAAAAAAAAAAACTAGACTTAGTAGTAGCAATTTATTTAGAAAAGCTGATCTGGGTGTTCAAAGTTTGTGATAAGACTTGAAAAGTAATTTTTGAAACGGCACTCGTGACTTTATAAAAGATAGGAGTATATTAGATTAATTATACATGTAATTCGGATCTAGTTTAATTAACTTTTTATAGACTTAAATTTATAGACGACCATATTTTTTTCTTTTTAAAAAGTAATTAAAAGACACCATAATATAACCATACTTATCAACTTATGCATTTATTAACATTATTTTAAAAATATTTTTTTTCTAATCTATATATATATATATATATATATATATATATATATATATATATATATATATATATATATATATATATATATATATATATATATATATATATATATATATATATATATATATATATATATATATATATATAATTATCTTCTTGGAGACGATAGAAAACAAGCTGTAAGCGCGCTCCCTACCACCCCACCCCTACATGGTCTGGTGAGCTGTGGTTCACACTAAATGTTTACAATCGTAGAGCCGGGTTTAGTGACGGCTATTAGGGGCAGATAATTTAGTTTGAAACGATTTTAAACTTAGGGGAGGTAACTAAGAGGAGGCTGGCTTTCACGGGGGGGGGGGGGGTGTAGGGTAGGGATTGGGAAAAAGGAGGGTGGGGGTAGTATCGTTCTTAACGACCTACTGATAGTGTTTTAAAGCAAATATTTTCAGTGGCAGCATTGGTACTGTCGAACTCACTGTCGAACTCACAAATTATCAATTATTGAAAAGTAGAAAATAAAACAACTTAAAGGAGCAGCGTATGATATGCCGCGGGTCGGCTCGTTCTACTTAACAAATCTAAATTGGCGCCAAAAGGTAGACAATTCTAAAATTTTAACCTACCTATTCACGAAGCAGTTATATCCCATGAAAATGATGACTTGCGGAAAAAAAAACAAGGACATAATCATCTTGGCGTCTGCCCCTCTCAACCCATCTACACCCCCTGCCCCCACCCCTTATATATATATATATATATATATATATATATATATATATATATATATATATATATATATATATATATATATATATATATATATATATATAATATATATGTCATCCATAAATGACGTCACGCTTTATTGACGATTTTTTACTTTCCCCCTCCCCTCCGTCACATGTCGTCACAAAAAGCCAGACCCCCCCCCCCCCCCCGAAAATAACGTCACACCTCAGCCTGCAAACCCCTCTCAAAATTGCTGTTGAATATTTCCAAAATCTTGTCAGAACTCTGTCAACATAGAGCAGTGGCTTAGCGAGGTCGGTGTCACCCGATGCGGCACTGGTGTCACCCCCCCCCCACCCCACCCCCCCCCCCCCACCCCACCCCCCCCCCCCCCCGGGAGGCGTAGCGACCCTTCCCGGGGACAAACTCTCAAATTTTCGATTCCCCCCCCCCCCTCAAATTTTCGATTTGCACCCCCCCCCCACTCAAAGTTTTGATTTGCACCCCCCCCCCTCAAGTTTTTCACTATATATTTTGCTATTTTTTGCCTTGGTAGTTCATAATGATTTTCATGCCAAGTTGGCCATGCTGGGAAACTGTCTAAAGAGGTCCAGGTCAACACAGGTGTGAGACAAGGAAGTCTGCTGTCGCCCCTCCTCTTCTTGGTGGTTTTCGATTGGGTGACACGCACAGCCTATGCCAGTTCTGGAAAAGGTATACAGTTGACACTCACGGGGAAACTAGAAGATCCGGAGTTTGCAGATGATCTTGCCTTACTCTCGCACAGGCTACAACACAAGAAAAAGTTGATGCATTAGGAGCCATCTCGCAGCGCGTAGGTCTCAAGATCAACAAAGAAAAGACAGAAGTGATGAGAATTAACAATAACCAGGAGGCGCCAGTGACAATAGACGGAAGACAGGTAAATGATGTGCAAGAGTTTGTCTACCTTGGCAGCAAGATCAGCAAAACGGGAGGCACAGAGGAGGACATATACTAGAGATAATAGAGCCCGCTGCGCTTTCACAATCCTGCGACCCATATGGAAAAGTTCGGCCATCTCCATTACCACAAAATTTTGGATATTTAACTCTAATGTCAAGGCAGTTCTGCTGTATGAAGCAGAGACATGGAGAGT